ATGTATGAATTGGCAATTCAAATCAATATAGGTAACCGTGCCTTAATTGGTTTATGAAGGAATGTAATATTGATGTGTGGTTGAATTCATGGAAATGAGGTGTTTAGTTCGTTTTTATTTATTTACTTGGAACTGTTAGATCATAATCTGAAATGTTGGAACGGGATTTCGGCCACAGTCTTTGCGACCATGCATTCGCTGAGTGTTTCGGCGGACACTGTCCCCTGGTTTACCCAGTGTTTTGCCTGGCTGTGTCCGCTGAAACTCGATCCGTCGTGCCTTGATTGTTGTTGCTGGCAGTGTCCCTAATCTTCAAGGTGATTGTTTCTCGTCTATAGCGTCTCCCATCCCTGGTCGTTCCCTTCGTATCATCGGCTGAGGAGGGGTATTTGCTCGGTCTTCCTTTACCTAGGATGAACCTCATGATCCTCCATAACTTACCGGGATGGATTTTAGTCATGATACCTTTACCCAACATTATCTTGGCAGTATCTCTAACAGAGTTCAAATCACTATTTTGTTGAAAATAAAACATAATTACATTAATTGTATATGAAATGTCTAGCGAGACTGCAATATGGAAAATGCAGCACAGCGTGTAGGTCACCGGAGTGTTATAGACTCCAGTTGCTGCTTGCAAAAAAAATACAGCCTTTTCACAATAAAGCCCACTTTCTTTACCTAGTGTTGCAATATGTGTTTTTTTAATCTGTTGAAATAAGGGAATACATGTGTACTTCGCCGATTTTAAACACAATGTCTAAGACCAGTTGGAGTCTGGATGCTAATAAAGACCCTCGCTGAACCCATTCATCAATGCATTTTCGGTCAAAAAGTCAGAACAAGTCCAAAATTATAAATTTCCAACAATTTTTTATTTCAACAATTTTACTTCATTATGGTATGTCCCTCTCGCGGCAACTCCTTGTATGGATAATGGCACGTGCGTCGCGCATACTGCGCGATGTGGCGCAAAACCCAGCTGTGCCGGTGTATTGTGAATTAAGGACTATAAAATACCAACTCATTGGTAGTATTGCGCATGCCTACGTGAGGATTGTGAACGTTCAACCAATAAAGCAGTAAAAGGCACCGAATTTCATAGAAGACAAAATTTCATGTGACCGCTGGAAAATTGTTTAAGACCAGCCAGCCGGTCTTTATCAACCGTTTAAGAACCGGCAACGTGACGGGCTCTCAACCAATAAAAATGGTAAACTGTCCTAGGTTTATGAGTAGAAAGTAGAAATCTCGGATAGTCCGAGACCGAGACCAAGACCGAGACCTGAAGTAGCAAGACCGAGACCGAGACCGAGACCAGCCCCTTCAAGGCGGACCGTGACCGAGACCGAAATGGTCCGAGACCGAGACCGAGACCGAGACCGCGGATAATAAATAACAATAATCTAAATAAACAACAAGACACTAATTACAGCTTAACAGTCTGTCCTTGAGATGTTGATGTTCATGGGGATGTGAAGGAAGTGATTGAAAGTTAGGAATCACTTGTACCTGTTTAATTGTGTCATGCGAGTGCTCTTTGTGTTTGCTTCATGCCATAAATTACAACATGGCAACAGAATTTGTTATTGTCACAATCAATTAAACAAATTGGAAACAACCTAATTTAAAAGAAGGGGAAACCTTATTTGATGAACTTCATATATTTTTGCCAGTTTTTAAAAAATTTTTTTTAAATATTGTTTAACTACTATAAAGTGTAAATCTGATGAAGAAACTCTAACTTAGGATTACGACAATTTGTACTAGTTTTTGCAAAACTTGAACATGTTGAAACTTGACAAAAGTAAAAAGTTAAAGGTGGATGTTTCATCTGTTATAGGAACTCGGACACTAAACTCCACAGCCACCCCCTTGGTTTCAGCAATGACAACTAACGGATATTTAAATGCAACTTTAATTTTACATTGGACCTCCTTGTAAACCTGATTCGAAAAAAAATTGGAGCAAGAAAATATTGATTTATTTCAGTCATGGAATATAGATTTGTACATGTAGACCAAAAAAATTGAGAGATGGTAGCCAGATATGGATTGGTCTGCCCCCCTCCCCCCCCCCCAACTCCCTCTTTGTGATTCTTCTTCCAACCCTGCATGTTTGTGTGTCCCCTACATGTTTGTTTCTTGTTCCTCTGTCATTTACCTCTGAAGAAGGCCTGGCTAAGGCTGAAATGTAATGCCACTTTATTTTTGTTTCATGTCAATAACGTTACATATACTATAGAAGATTGATGAACCGTATTTGCCTGATCTATCTTCTGTTAATCAGCCCGCCGTCATCATCGTCATTTGCCTATTTGAGAATATGGCCGACACAATAGAAGGGCGCTGTCACAAACTGAATGTGGTGGGCGAGATGTACTGTTAGGATTCATGGCTCAGTGCGCACGCCTCTCTGTGTTTTGTACCGTGCCAGCGTATCGTCCGCATCGGCTACTTTGCCGGGCGATTTACTTGAATATTTTAGTGATTAACAAGTACTACATATTGCCAATATATTAATAGTTTATTGTGATGGCCGTAAACAGCATATATATAGCGATTAATGGAACACAATTATTCTCGACTCATGCAAATGCAATTGACATTTAGGAAGGAGACGAGGCAGGCAATTATACTCTATTTTTGTGTGACCATGGCAGTAGCTCAATTTGTGTTTACCACAGATGAAAAAATGAATACATGGCGGGTCAAAAAGAAAGTGACCGTATGAAAAAAAAAATGGCACGCTCCATTTTGTAAAAAATACATTTGGGATAAAGAACATGTTATTGAGTAGTAACTGTGAACATTTCACGTAATTTGCATACTCTATTCCCAAGTCGTGTCTATTTTATTAAAGAGATCACAAAATTCAGCTGTCCACCACTAATACCAATTTAACGGTCTACGAATTGATGAATATCCATTAATAAAAATAATGGAAAAAAAACGTTTTCCCGCCTCCACGAATAAAGGAAAAATTGAAAAGAAAATAGAAAAAAATCACCAATATTTCTAGGGAAAAAGAGTTGAATTGTTCCCCATATTCAAAATACAAAATCTGACGGTAAAAATAATGTTTCAGTCTTTATTCATAAGATTTAAATCTCAGTTGTATTGGGAATCGATGAGGATGGCTATAAAGTGCATGTTTCAACAGATCATCCCACAATAAAAACGAGAAATAAGAAGAGGAGCAATGGTTATTGGACTATGCCTCACTCACTAGGAAGTGATGAGAGACATGTCCATTAGCATCACACTGCAGTCACATTTGCCCTAAACTGATTCTTTACTTAACCCTAAAAGGGCCGGGGCGGAATCCGCCCCCCCCCCCTCACTTTTTGGCTGGTCTCGACTCGAGACCAGCCAAAATATCGAGACCAAAGGGGACCAAGACCGAGACCAAGACCGAGACCACAGCTCCCGAGACCGAGACCGAGACCGAGACCGGCAAAAAGTGGTCTCGAGACCGAGACCGAGACCGAGACCGGTCTCGAGACCTACAACACTGGTAGAAATTAGCATTATTGGGGACTTGTTTAAGTCGTACCTACATCGTCGTCAGTTCGGTTGTCTGGTATACACGCCGCGGTACTGAACACAACTTGGTGTCGCTTTAGGACGATTGCGGTGTTTTCCAACATCATCATTTTATTTTATTAGTTTGATCATGTTTTCCTTCTGTCTATTCTTTTAAAAAAAAATACGTTTTGGTCAAGTGTATCCGCTCATGAGGCAATTTCGTTCGGCAATAGATAGTCTTTAACAACATAAGATTCCTCAAAGAAAGGATTTCTCAAGGTAGCAATAAACGCCTCGGGGGGTTTTATCCGACGGCCGTCCTTGCCCCTTCATGCTGTGAACATCACCGCCGCCCAAACATCGACCAACACCCGTAGTATCTATCCCGAATCCTAAAAGGGAAAACCTAGCCCTATATGGCGGTTGACGTAGACGCATGCATAAAGCATCGGTACTTGATTGTCCGTGACGCAACTACCGCCGGGAAAACAAGCTTCATACCCCACACAATCAGTCTATAAACGCACGCTAGATATTATTAAAAGCACGGATTTACACTTCAGAGTCGATTTCTCAGACTTACATACGTCCCATTCCTAAGCGAAATGCAACGCACTCAGCTATGGTAGCCAGCCACAATTAAGATACATCAGAAAGCATTTGCTTGTAATGTTTTTGTGATTACTAAGAAACTTTTCCGCTAATAGTAGTGTAGGAGTTCGCTTCATGCAAATCAACCATGATGCAAGTCAACAACTCACCGTCGAGTTCGTCCTCTGACCGTAGACAGTGGGAATCTTGGCACGTCGATTGGGGGTATTACGCCGTCTAGCCCCCTCTCCGATCGAGTCCCCTTGGGTCGCTAGAAAAATAGGAAAATTCATGCGGAAAACGTAGGACATACCACCCCCCCCCCTCCGCCAACAGCCCCCCCCCCAGCCAAAGCTGGAACCGCCCCGTGCTTAGCAGCTTTGAAAATTGAAACTGTCACTTGTCAATCCACGCATGTCTAATAGGGCCACAAACGGTCGCTCGTTGACAATCGCATTGGCGCGTTTTGACTTCATCAATCAATCTACATGTAAAATATGTCTGTTTAATAATTCCGTCCTGCAGTTTTATTGTCTGCAGCGTTATACACGACGAAACCTAGTCTGTCATTCAGTGGGCGTGACACGGATTTGTTCAGTGGGCGGCGCGTGGGCACATACATCATTTCTGTTCCCCAACAAAAATGCCTGTCTGTGTATCAGCAATTCCATATCGCTGTTTCCGATATTCATTTTCGGTCAGTTTACTTGATTAAACTGCGAGTTTGTGTCGATAGAGGGCGGCCTACATGTTAGTCAATAGGCCGCCACTGTTTAAGCTGGGTGTCGATAAGTTTGACTAGTTGTCCAGCCACTGCAGTCCGCAGTCTTGTATTTTCAACGGTGTTTGTCGTAATAACAACGGGCCAGGCGTGAACAGAACTCATCATTTCTGAGTATTAAAACTGTTTCTTCCCTTTTATTAGCTAAATTCAATGGAATATCATGCAATTAGAATCATTAAAATATAATTTGAATAAAATTAGTCTACTTAAATGTTTGCAGCGTGGATATCTCACGGACGGACATGCGGCATTTATGGGTTTGCCTTTCCTGTGCAGAGAGCTGCATTTTTATTAATTCCACAAACGCCTATCGGCTCTGAGGGTTAAAGTTGGGGGGGGGGGGGGGCGCTGTAGCGCAACACCCTGTAAAGCGAACTTGGCTGGTTCCCGGTCATCATCATAACAGAAGATCAGTTTATAACAGTCAGAGCACAATTATGGCTTCACTGGTTCCCTTGCGCTATTATCACGTCGATTTGTTTTCAGAATCACTGTATGATCTAACAGAGGGGTTAAATTGATTGAGAGTGAACTGAGCTGAGAGAGTCTCGAAAATGACGCTTGAGATTAAAGAGGGCTCATCAGAGAAAAAGATGGCCGAAGATGAAACCTAGTTTTACGACCATTGTGATTTAATCGGGAGATATCTGCGATTATTTGAGCACGTAAACCCTTTCCGTTTACGATGAGTTGCGATATGTTGCTCTTACGAGGTGGTGCTGAACACTAGAAATCCACTGAAGGTCGTGTAATGAAGATGGTCGCTATAGACGCCGTAGTTTACAGATGCAGGCATACGGAGCCACACGCTGTCACCGGCTGACAACCGAAGAAGCTGTCGGAAGAAAGATTAGAAAATCTAAGACATAGTCTTGCATCTGACTTCACATCTTAGTGCAAGTCTTTGTAAAGTAAGCTACAACTAAATGTATGAGGTTTTGGGGTGTATCGCGTGTGAGTGACCATTAGGAGAAAGCTAGTAACGACGATCAGAGCTTACAAATCGAAACGTCGGGTTCTTGTACAGTTGTCAGGAACTTTTCTCCCATTGAGAACTTTTCAAATCCTTTCCATTTTGCTTGACTCACTGTTTGTCGACCTGCGCTCAGAATGTCCAAGCTGCAAGCAGGTTTGTTTTGCTAAGCAGTGGCGTTAAACTGTGTCCCCCTACAAGTTTATCCCCTTGTTACGTCGCTGCTGCTAAGCATCTTGGTGAGTTTGGCTATAAGCTGATTGCTTACCGTGCTCTGAGTGCTGCTGATGCTCCGCACTGCTTCGTCAGTGTTAATCGAGACTTGCAACTCGTCGTTCTTCATCAGAGCCACGCCGAGGATACGATTGCTATAAGTACGTAACCTGTCCCAACCAAAAAAAAACACCAAAAATAAGAATTGAACTTATTGCCCGGATTGCTACATGAAGAGAGACAGGCGAGTTTCGGTCATGAAGGTTGCATTATATAAAAAGAAAATGTTAGTCACCGATATTTTGGCCACTGACTAAAAGCTTGAAACAATTAATGTGGGATTCCTTTAATTTGCATTCAAAGTCTCACATCGATCCCTACAAAAGTAAACCGTGTGCGAAATTGATGTCCTGGGCTACGGCTAAGTCTGTTGTCAAACATGTGCCCACGCAGTTGCAACAGACGAAGTTCAAGACATATCACGAGACAAGAGATTCGGACGCGGCTATTCAGAGAAGTCTCTAGGGCGCCCTCTTGTGCTTGATATTTCATAGCTACTCCATAATTGCATGGTGCGGGAAAAAAAAAAGGAAATCGTCTGCGCTCACGTGAATGTGAAGAAGTAGAACCCGGGGATTCGGCAGACGAAGGAGTTGTTGCCGAAGTTGAAGTCTTCGCCCTTGTTGGATATGTTGAGGTCAAAGGTCAATGACTGCGCCTGACCTTCGAGACCCAACTGAGGATGTGTGGAGGTCACGGAGAAGGCCGACTTCCGTGTGTCTGAAAAAAAAGGCGGGAAAATAAAACTGACCGCAATCGAATGTTGATTAAATCGATGAAAAAAAAAGGCTGGATCTATGATTTTCGAAATGGAAGTGAAGCAACAGCCGTCGTGTTATTCTGTTTTTGGCGCACTAAGGGCAACAGAGGGCGCCATGCACCAATAGTGCCTATACGTGACAACCGTTGAATTATATTTTTAAAATATAATTATATGCCTGGTAACAATACTATTTCTTGTGTAGGCCTAACTAAATTAAAAATCTAAACTTCAATTCATTGGTCATTTCCGGGTGACTGACAACTTCCGTGACAGGAATCTGCTGATGAAGCTCAGTTTTTTCACACCTCCTCAACCAATCAGGAAAAAAAACTCGAAACTTGAAAAAGACCCACATATGGGTGATCAAAGACAATTTCTGATGCCGGGAAAATTTAAAGGTAGGACTAATTACGTTTTTCTTTTTCTTGTTTTTAGTAACAGGGAGGTATGCTGACAAAATATTATTTTCCCGAGGGGCCTCTTTTAAAGCAAATCGAGCATTGTCAACTTCCTCTACTTCCCCTAATTAGTTTATAAAATAAGCAACTGACACAGAACTCTCCATCCATCGCCGTATAACCGTAGGGAATACATTTCATTTGTTCAGCTGGCTTCTGTTCTCAAATAATTAATTAACTTTAAATCGAAGCATTTTAAATTATAACTTGTACTTCGCCCTTTAACCATGTGAAGTATTGCACACTTAAATTTAGTGCATAAATGCAACGTTAATGTTAAACGCGAACATTAACATTTTGTTCTATTTATCCATCATTGTTGAATGTTTACATAATGGAATCATTCTGATACTTGTGAAGCAGTTTTCATGAAACGTCGAGCCTAAAAGATGAATTTGACATGTAATTTGAATAAATCAATTTTTAGAACACATTTGCCAAAACCTGATGTTATTGATAAATATCGAATACATTTTCGGTGGCATTTCGCATGCACGTTTTCGTTATAAGCCTTGTTATAATAACGCTACAGCAACGCACTGTCGATGTGTACATCATTTAACGATGAATTTTACAGCGCCATTAAAAATACAATTCTGGAGTCACTGAATGGTTTTAATAGTACGCGAATTCGAAGAAGTGTTGAAATCTATCCTGCATGAAGTATTAACCGGTGCATATTCTAGTTCACATCTCTTGTATTTGTTTTTAAACAATAGGGGCCTACGTTTTCGACGCTTCATGTGAAATTTCCAAAACAAATCAGTAATGTGCAAGCACGTATGTTAATCCTACTTGCTGCTTTGCCTCGTTCTGCTTCGTCCAGGAACCGATCCTCATCTCTAAGGACCTCTTGTACGATATTCCCGACATCTTCACCCGTCTCCCCTCCCCGTCCGGCTTCCAAAGACACGCCCACTCGCTGGTTCAGTTCCTCCACCTTCTTCCTCAACTCAGCGTTCTGGTTGCTTAGCTGCTGCAGAGCCAGGCCGATCATCCCGAAATCTGGCACCGCGTCCCCGTCATCATCAGCCGGCTTGGGGTCCACTCGGTCCGGTCTTAGAGCAGCAAGCTCCGCAGCCCTGTTGCTCAGATAATCCCGGAGTACCTCCACGCGCGCCTTGGCGCTCCTCTCCTCCGGGTTGAGATGCTGTGTCACCTCCGTGAAATCCGGAAACAGAAACGCCAAGCCTCTCTCTAGTTGCTCCACTAGTTCCTCCAGCTCCTTTCCTCCCCCATGTTGAGGCTTGTCGCATCCGAGTATCACCGCGAGTTCCAGGTCACGGTTACGTTGCTCGAGTTCTAGAGTACGAGATTGGAGTCCGGTCACCGTGTTTTCCAGGGCTGCCAGGCGGTGCTCCACGGGGCTTAGCTCTTGCGTGTCCCCGGTCAGGCTCCCGTGGCGTGCAAGCTTCTCTCTCCGATCGGGCTCGGCGACTGCATCCACAACTTCAGCCTTCCAAAGCGTTGGTAAGGCGACGAACAACAACCAGCACCACAAAAACGAGCCTGTCAGCAGCACCATGATGAAGGCTTTCCAGTTGTGCTTCCGCGGGCAATTGTTGCCGTTCACACAGTACTGTTGATTTTTAACAACCCCCACTTCCGTGTTATGGCTTGGGAAGTGAAACACATGCGTGCCAGAACGTTTATCGACCGAATCAATATTTTTCCCAATCATATCTACATCGCATTGAGTACTCGATAAAGTCAATCGAAATGGGTGAGTGCCCACTTCAGATTCGCTTTGACAACTGCTATGGAACGATATGAAACCGCTTGCGTGCAAACCTGTCATCTGTAACTCAAAGAGCTCTCCAACATTAGGTCACATAGGGACATTTCTCTATAATTCACGATTGTTATTTTCCAAAGGCAGCCTGCAGGCTGCTTGTAGTCTTTATGCCTGCTGTTCGTGCTGAGCTCTCCTATCCTTTCAGAAAACGAGGCCAACCCACCATTATTACCTGTATTATGCCTCACATATTTTGAAAAGGTTACCTTCAAATAAAGCAAAATCTAATAAAGAGTCTGGTATGTGCACCAACACGGGCCCTAGATTATACATGAAGTACGTCATGGGGTGTGTGGGTCAATAAAGCTGACTTTTTGTATGAATTTGCTTTTTTTGCTGTGGTATGTTTATGGAATACCTGGCTGATCTAATTAGTTCTTAATAAGTGCGCTTTCAATCTTGTAATGGTTTAAAACAGACATGTCAATTTTCAATTTATTTCGACTCAGTCTTTTCACTGTGTAGCTAGGCCAACAATTTGTTTTATAGTTTCACGTACGGCCAAGTAAAAAAAAACACCAGTTGGTGGTCCGGGATTTTTAAAAAGAGGAAGATGAGGGCCTGTTTGTTTTTCATTCAAAAATAGGATAAAAAATAGCCATATTTAGTTTATACACGATATGTGCCTTAAAAAGGAGGAGGCTTTTTTTATTATTAATTTTGATAGTTCTGGGTAGTTGTCTACTAGTTGATGACCGCAAAACCTTCTTAAAATGCTTATTGAACATTAGTTAAGCTATTAAAAGCATCTGAACTTTTGAAACATCTTTTTAAAAATGTTATGCCTGAAATTAAAAAAAGTATGCAGTCTAACAAAAAAGGAGCGGGCGGGGACGATCAACTGTTTTTTTTTTTTACTTGGCCTAAATAGATAATAGAAATATGACTTCACACTGATGGGCCTACATTTTAATTGCTAGTCTGATACACGAAGTTACAAATTAATCATTTTTGCTGGTATATGCACCATATGGAACAATCATTCCTATGAACGCCTTGACAAACTTGAATCTGTGACCGCGGCAAGAGGAAATAGCGCCCTCTCTCAACTCTTTACTCGCAACTCATATCGAAACACCTTTTTCGCGAGTAGTATCCTCACTTTACACTTTATTCCAACACAACTGAATATAATATACTACTTCAAGCTTATAATTGGTGGGTGACAAATCGCGTACAATGATCTGTTGTTGTTGTTGTCGTCGTCGTTACGGTTGTTGTTGTTGTTTTAATTAAAGGTTTATATCGAATCTCGACTAAATACAACGACCTGTATTGTTTTCAAAGGTAAACCGGGCGAACGGCTCTTACTTTTCAAACTTCGACAGATTTTTCTGTATAATCCATTGGTGTAGCGGTACATTTCTCGCCTTCCACCGTTGTGATGTGACCCGGGTTAAATTTCTGCCTGGGCCAATATGTAGATTGAGTTTTCAGTCCATACCTTTAGGCCTATTCCGTGGGTTTTCCCAGAATATTCTTCTGTGGTATCCCCTCAAACAAAACTGTAAGTTCTTCACATTGCCTTCTCTTTTACTTTTAGGGCCCCTTGTGAGACCAGTTGATTCCACTGAATGGGCTACCCACTTAAAATAAAAATTAAATAATTATTTTTCAAGATAAAAACAATCCTTTACTTTCAACGGAATAGACCAGCATAACCATCAACACCTCGGACTCCGCAAACAGGAGAACAGCTCTTTCCCCTATCAATTACGGTCCTTACGGAACAGGTGAATCTGGAAAACGAAAGTTGCCAAAAATGGAGCCGCAAGATTGTATAGCTCGAAACAACATCAACCACAAAACCAGGATATTAGGCCTAGATTTAGTTCCACTGAACCTCACCACAAACTGACAGCCGCATGCGCCCACACGTACCAATGATCTATGCGAACATCCCTTGGAGATTAAAGGGGTGATCCGGTAGGTTCTAGAAAGTTCTAAAAAGCATTCCGGAATAGAACCTGTTCCTAATCCCTCCATAATTATGTACAGAACAGTAAACACGCGATTTACAGACTGCAAATCTTGGAATTTAACTACATGTATTGTGCACATGTGAGGCAAATTAAAATAAAACACACAAAAACAAACAGAAAAAAAACACACACTCAAAAAAATAAAAATTAGATCTTCGATTGATCCAGAGCAAGGATGATAGCCTCTTTAAAATGGAACGCCAAACGTACTTTAACACTGAGACAAACAGCCATGACCTCAATCAGTGGAGCTGGCTCAACCGGTACCCGGTCGGTGCGGCGTGAAGTCTTGTGCATCGCCTATGCCTAAACAAGAAAAACATCTGTTTTTAGGTTTGGCGAAGTTCTTTGTATTGAGCAGAGCCAAGAAAGTTAACGGGAAAAACCCTGTGGTCTTCACGTCCGATGTCTTGACTCTTGATCGCTTGTTTATTGACACAGTTGCGGCTTTTTTGGTAGAGTTAGACCACAAGGGAACACCTTGCTGTTACTTATAGCATGACTTTTGTATAGTTGAAAATGTTCGGATAGATTCATATCATACTGGGATTCCCTCCATGTGAAAATAGTATCGCCTTATTTTTTACATAGAGCAAGGATGTTTTTACCAGACTACTTGTCATCATAATTATGTACATCATATCACTGTACTTCATTTTGTCTTCCAAATATAGGCCTACATATTTAGTTGACTGAAATGTTGAGGATGTTTTTAAACAGTTACCTTGCGGGAAATAAAGTAGGTCTTGTCTATTATGTTCTGAAGATCCAGTTATAATTGGCAAAATGCAGATACACCGGCGCTATGCTGTGCTGTCCCTTGTCTTTCGCAAGTATCAGCTGTTGACGGTTAATCATCGTTAACGTCCGTGAACAAACAAAGATAGAGTGTGATGTCTTATTTAGCATTATTATTATTATGAGTATTATTTGTGGTAATGAAACCAATTAAGGATTCCTCAAAAGTGTTCTCCTTGTACTTATAGGCCCATGTAGCTCGCAAGCCTGAAGAAACATGTAGAGAAAAGACAACTGAGAAGAATGATTACAGTGTTAGAGGTGGGAGGAAAATCCCGGAAGAATATTCTTGGGGAACCCACGGAATACAGTTAGGGACTGAAAACCCAATCCACAATTGGCCCAGGCGGGATTCGAACCCGGGTCACAGCGGTGGAAGGCGAGGAAAGTACCGCCACGTCAACCTGTTTCCCCTTCCACCATACCTCGGGCAAACAGGATTCTCCAAAAGTACAACAAGCCGATGACCAGTGAAAGTTCTCAGTGAGTCATAAGTGTCATCACTTTTTTTCCTAGACCATTTCCGGTTTTACTGGTAACAGTCGATGGACAAGCTGTCAACACGCGAATTATTCACGCATTCTTCACAAAATGTAAACAAGTTAACCCTCACAAATGAGGGTCACCCCGTGTTGTTTTTTAATTCATTCAATCATATAAAACAAGGAGATCGAACGTGTTAACAATAAGTGTAACCAAATTTAATTTTAAAAAGGAGGGAGCAATATTGTATGCTTTGATTGCACACAATTCAAACAGCCAGGTTATGAAAACAACATTTTGACAGAAAAATGACAGGTTTGAGAGGCGACGGACAGTAACCGTTTTCAAGTTTTCCAAACAGCGTGGCACTGTTCATTCTTCGGTTTCAGATCATTGGAGCTAAAACTCAATTATGTCGACTGTTCAGTTATCAGGGCGGGTTTTAGGCATTAATTGCCCTCTGTTTTGAGGGGAAAGTAAAATCCGTCATAGAATAAGGTCATGTCCCATATTGAACTCAATGATACCACTTTTGCGTAGGTAGGTATGCTATTTTCGATTGATACTTGTTTTCATCCTGTTGACGAGTAACTCTATTCTTTTACCAAGAAGTATCTTCCTGTATTATTTTTCTGTTGTCCTCCTCCACAGGAAGAACCCGCGAACAAAAAGTAATAAGAGCCAAATCTGGCACAATTTCTTAAATGTTCCTTTGCTACTTGACGCCGACAGGTGCAAGACACCTGTAGTGACGTTCACCCTGGTTAGTCACGTCATTGGCACCCCACCCCGTCGGAACCTCGGGGTTGCAACCCTACACGTAAATCATATCGTGCTCGTAGCAAATACCGGCTTGTTCCATTCAAATCAGGTAGACAAGATTCCTAGACCCAGTTAAATTACCTTCCTTAAAACGTTCAGTTCGAGTTTGTCGAGAAACTGATTATTGTCGGAGCATCTTGGAGCTACAAGGGGTGATAAACAATGAGAAGACTTGTTATTTCGCTGACAACGAAGCTACCAATAAACAGTTTGTCAGATGAGACTCCCCTACAAGTGTGAATGGAAGAGTCCAGCCACCAGCAGGACAGGTGTTTATGGTTTACAAATAACCTTGGCAACACTTGGCAAGTAGGCTATAAATTCCGCTGTCTGACAAGCTGTAGCCTCAGAAATCACTTGTTCCGATTCTTCCATTGATCCGACCTGACCTGACACTGAAAGTAGCAGCGCCTTTGAACGTGATCATTTGCATCATTAACTCGAGTTGATCGACAGTCTGACAAGTGCAAGTAAACAGTGAAGTTGGAATATTGCGTCGTAATTTAAGTCGTGGGGCAAATTGCTCGGTCGTCATTCGTGTTCAGCGCAGCCAGCCACACTATCCAGTCCTTCCACTGACTTGCAACTTGCTTTTCTTTAAGACGTACCAACTTGGAACAGAAGGTGAAATAGGTAAGTAATTGTGCCCTCGTGGTTGGATCATGGATGATCACTTTATCGTCCTACAGTCTTTTGTTTTTCCCTTTCCTCGTTTTGCTGTTTGACGACGTACCACAAATTAATTGACCAGCGCCTTAAAACTGACAGTACATTGTTCATGTTGTTTCACTTTCAAGTTTCCCCCGATTTGGCATGTTTGGCCACCTGAACCATTCACCATAAGCAGTTAATGTACTTATCTGGCACTTGGTGCGGGTCATTTTCAATCCATGGTTTTCGATGTGCATGTGCACAACGGATGTACGTACGTTTCCACTTTAGAATGTTAACTAAACACGCTAAATAACTGAATAATTAACACGATGAGGGAAAATCATGCCTAGGTACATGCAGTAATTCCCCTTCAAATCAATACAGTCGTTCGTCTGGTATTTGGTAGTGGTGGTATGAAGCTGTCCATGGGGTATGTTGACAGTCGGCTGCCGGCCAGCCAGGTCGACCCATTCATTTCAATTCTCTATCCACCTGTTCAGCTATTGGAGTGCTGGTTTCCAACCTCCATGATTATTAAACCATGGAACTAAAACTAGTAAAAGAAGTTATAAAACCGCACGACACCACTAATTTCAAATCATCATGTTGACCTATAGTACTGATATTAAGGCAAGTCGTGATGTCTGATGACATGTCTGATATGTAGTCCAAATTACTTTACCATATGACAACATCAAAAGTACACCCGACGACAGCTGGAAATTGCAGTGCATATATATGTTACATGTAAAATGGCACACTTAAATATGTTAAGAACACAAAGAATTCTGACTCCAGAATTGTCAAATCCAGGGAATATTTTACGTGTGTACTACAAGGTATATGATAATTTAAATCATACTTACAAAGTTACAATGGAGCTATTATTATAGCATTGTAATAGGGCGGTCACTCTTTTGAACATCCGCCACGTGAAAATTCAGTCAGGAGTTTTGATTGTTAATTATTATGGCAGGGGAACGCACCCGCTTTACATCTTTTGCCCTATCCGGGGTTCCGTGATGTCGAGTCAATCAATATTAAACTTGATGACTTTTGACCGACTTGTAATTGACAAGATGGGGCGGCGTCGGACTCGTCAACACTGGTCTATCTACATTAAAACTCATTCCAATTTCTTTCAATTTTTAGGAGCCAAGATGACATCCACCTGCCGCCAAGTGCTCTTCACCTGCCTCCTACTGGCCGTGATTGTACACACCGATGCCGCTAGGAGACGTCGTCCAGTCATCCCCGGCAAGACACAACCGCAGGCCACCCAGGCTCCGGTTGAACAGACCCAGAACTCTCCCAACCAAGCTAAAGGAATCAATAGCAATGCCCTGGCTGATATGGAGCGCCGAATGGCCAATGTAGAAGAAAGCACATTGGTTATCAAATCAGAGGTAAGGGTACACCGCATTCGCTGAATATTCTGTTCCAATCTATGGAACTCCGAAGAGGCAATAAAATGGTCAATGAAGTGATTTTTTCTTAGGAACATATTTTGTGCAACTTTTTTGTTGCTGTGATGTCATTTCAGGCAGACACTATAGGGTTTTTCTGTTCAAATTTTGAATTCCAAAATTTGCTCCTTGAAAATGTTTGTAAGAAAAGTTTGCTCATTTGCCTACACTGACACAACAACGAATCACCAAAGAAAGGAAAATTTACGATAGCGAAATATCCAAAAATGACCTTAAAATGAAGATGATTGGCCCAGCTCTAATTCCTTCATTTACTAAAGTACAGATGGAACACTTGTTACTTTTCATGATTGTTATTGGCAGTAGTTACAGATGCTCACATATCCACTCACATGCACTTGAATTACTGCTCGTTTAATACAGGTTTTTCCTTACTGTGTGTTTTGTAAAATCTTCTTGAATTTACAGATGCGAGAGGCAAAATCAGAAAACACCCGTCTGAAGGAGGAAATCCAGCGTATGGGTGCCACCATGGAGCAACTAGACGAGGCCAACCAACGCGTCGAGGAACTCGAACGGATGCTGTCCAAGTTTGAGAACTTCTTCGGCGTGTTGTACACGGAACTGCCCGACGTCTTCGCCGAGGAGATGTCCCTGCCTCAAAGATTCAGTCGACTGAACTCGTACCTCGGCAACAAGGAGTCGGAGCTTATGATGTTGCGGCCCAACCCGCCCTTCGTCACCGCCGACCCAGCGGATAACCCGGTCGATGAGGAGCTCCTGGGCCTGGCCGTGGATGAGCTGAACATGGAGAATACCAAACTCAGGCGACGATTGGACGACATGGAGACCAGAATGGTCGCCGTACCACCGAGCGGTGTTGAAACCAACGACCCTAACAGAGTGGTGCCTGCCCCGCTCGATGACGAGATCCAGGAGAGACTGACGCGATTGGAACGCTTGATGGCACTGAAGCTTGCCCCACTGATTGACGAGGAGGACGACACAGACAACGTGGATCTTGGAGACCTTGGAGGCAACAAGAGGTTGACAAGTGGTGGCGCTACAGTGACTCTAAGCGACTCCGACGCTGAGATCTTGAGGACGGAGCTAGATAGCGTACGCTCCATAGCAAGTAAGAATCGTCTCACTCTAACATGCTGTCACCTTTTGTACTTACCAATTTGTTTGCACAGTTTTTGCTTGTTTGGTCCTTTTATAAGAAGAGTCGATTCTGACTACGATGATGACTCCTGGATGGAATCGGAATCGATTCCACAAATGCTTGGACTAACTTAGAGTCACATAGTCATTCACAATTCCTGTGCACTCAAGTTTGATAAAAATACAACAACCAGAAGTCATTTTGGTGTCCCGGTACCTTCTATTGAACAGTCTACCACAATCCCGACACTTGAAGACAATTTGAAGTCGAGATGTAAGTATAACACAAGCATGAACATATCAAAGCTTTTCACAAGGATATAACTGTTGGTCTTTGGTTTTCAGGTACCAGGAAGAGCGTGTTTTCAGCCGCTGCCACCCGCCATATGCATGGCGAGGCAGGCGTCCAGAAACCGGTCTCGTACGACCACATCTTCTCCAACAAGGGCGATCACTTCCAGGAACAAAACAGTACCTTCATCTGTGGCATCACCGGATACTACTTCATCACCTTCACGTAAGTCCTAAAAAAATTCGTCTGTAATTCCCCCCCCCCCCCATATCCTCGAATCATAGCGCTCTTAGTCACCAAAAGGAGATTGGAGGTTATATTAATTCATATCAAACAAACAACAAATCGCTTTGTCCACTTAATCATGTTCTGCTTATTAGCCTTCAAAAGTTGTAAACAGTCCAATCCGAGTTTTACTATCTCCTCAAAAATCCAGAAACTGAATTTTCCATTCTTGAAAAGCTGAGTTTCTTCTAAGCGACAGTAACTTCAATCTTGTCTCAATGATCCTTCTCCTCTACAGGACTCGCTCCTATGACAACCGTTACCTGGGCGTCAGCCTGCTCTTGAATGGCGAGCGTGTGGTGTCAGTGAGTGCCGAGAGCGACCCGGTAAAGAATCAGATGATGTCGCAGTCACTTATACTTCACCTTACACCAGGGGACCAGTTATGGGTGTCGGTAGCGCCCTCTACCGTCTACTCCATCCACAGCGACCGATTCGGCAAGTTCTCCACGTTCAGTGGCTTCTTGCTCTTCAAGGGCTCCTAGGACGGCAGAGGGCGCCAGGCTCATTAGTAACCTGTACTACTGATTACACAGTGAATAAAGAAAGTTGCGATAACGGAGACTTGAGGATTTGGACACCAAATGGCTTAGGTAACTCACTCTTGGCGACATTTTGTGCCCACTGTTTGGTGTGGCAAGTCTGCACAGCCCACAGTGCCCAATGTAGGCTGGAGATATTTCGACATGCCCATATTTGGGCTAAACATTGTAATGCCATCTTATTGTAACCGAACATTTTGTCGAGATGGCGTGATGGTGTGACTTTTGGACCAAACATGGCTGACCTGCTGTAATTTTCTTTTGGTTTGGACTCTATGGTGTGCCTTAAAAACAAAATTGATGCTTTTATACAATTTCTGGATAACAGCTTCACCAAATACATGTAAACGCACGATACTCTCCGTTTTGGCTCTTAAACAATTGGCTCAAGCAACAGTACGATTGCTTTTCATGGAAACCTTTTATAATGTTACATTGTTGGGTCTATATTCACTAAATTAATAAAGTATATTAATTATATTCGTAATTGACTATTTTTTTAGATCAATTAAAATCAGCCTTTTGTTTTGCAAAATATTTTCAATTTTTATTGGAAAATGCGCTATTTATTTGTTTGTTTGTTTGTCTGTTTGCTTTTTTTTGATACTCTGAGACTAAGAAAGAGGTTTGTCGTGCATGATTCTGTAAATCTTCGTGTCGATATTGTAAGTTGTCTTTAATCGATTCCTGCTGATATCTACACCGCTAGTTTCGTATCTCTGTTGTATTTATTGATTTTTTTTTTTTTTACATATACATGTAAAGTACTGAATCGATTTGCCACATCTGTATGCCGGTACTGATTGATAAGTTCTTATTAACATTAAAAGCTCTTATGTCACTACATTTGTGTTGTTACATATCAATGTTGTTTACTTCATTTGTTATGGTTTGTTAGTGAACAAACCCCATATGGTGCTGTATTGAAACCAAGCCTAAGGCCATGCAACTGTGGCAATAATTGTTGACTATCTTGCAAAGTAAGTTGTATAAGTCACTTCGATTGACATTTCACGGAACTCGTGCTGGGACGGTCTCTTGCTAAACAAAGGAAAAACAGAAAAGGAGCCCCGACTATTTTAAGACTCTTGTTCCAAGAACGATGACGTCAGATCCTCCTCCTTACCGCCCCTAACCAGTACTATAATAAGACATGTGTACTTTATGTTCAGATACTGCCAAACCACAATGGTGGTGAAGGCCAAACCATTTATCGGTATTTACGCACGCGGATAATCTAATAAAGATGGATTGAAAAAGCTACAGGGGTACAAGTATCTGTACATTAATGTTCCCCTATAACTTGCAGTGACCATGGAGCAACCCAGATTAGTTTACCCCGATTCTTCTTGTAACAACTGGGGCAAAGACGAAGGATGTGTTTAAACTCGTGACCTGGGTTGTAAATCATGTGACCAAGGCCCCTGGGCAGAAAAGGATTAAATCTTCACGTGATTAAACTGACTGGCACTTGTTTATATCCGAGTGTAAACAAAACAGCACAGCTGGTGGTCGAAGTACCAGCCCCGAATTGTATGGTCTCACAAAAGTGGTCCACCACCGAACCCAGGCCGAACCACGAATTTAGGTGTTGCAGAGTGCACGCTTGCGTCCATTGCCGCCAGAAGGCACACACGCGTACCTGGCAAACTCACTAGTTACAGTCTTTCTTTATCGATTGTGTTCTTCAGATCGATCGATCTATCGAACAATAGGTGTATGTTAATCCCATCAGCGTTTTTTATTCATTGAAGGCATTTTTACACGCCAATACACGTAGTTGTGAAGGCAAAACTCGCTGTTTGTTACTTTGAGTATTGCACCTGCACAGTATACCTCCTGCGTTTGCTGGTACTGACTGGTACGTTTTGATTTACTGCAAAAGTTCAACTTACCAGTTTTGGAAAATCAGCTTTCAAAATACACATGTACACAGATCGACTATACTGTACAGCGTGTCTAACGTTTCACCGGACATATACCAACTGAACTGAATCCCCAAAATCCAGGTAAGCAATCTATGTTTTATTTTATGGCTGTGTTCGTGGTTTTATTTTTTCATATAGCTTTGGGGACATCATTAACGAAAGATTGGTAATGCATGTATAAGATAACAACTGAGCCAAACTGAAAAAGATGTGAAGTTGTTTCCGTAGTTCTTATATTTGGAATAAGCTCATGATTTAAGCTCATGATGATTTCATATCTCCCTCTTTATTTCATTTCTCCTAATTATTTCATATCTCCTTATTATTTATCACAAACGATGCAGTCAGGAAGATTTATTTACAGACCACATATCTTGGGTCATTATATGTCATTATTTTGAACGATTCAACAGGTGTTTTTTGGCAATTGTTGACTGTCGATCCTGTTGATTTGTTGAATTCAAGGTTACATTTTGGTGGGAGTTAATGTGGGAAAGAGATCAGCTTGCGTAGTTCCAGCAGATTAGCCCACTCGTTGGAAAGATCCGTAGAGCAAGGAAACATGATGCGGATATATACCTATCTCATAATAGGTGTCCACCATTGTAGGGAAAGTCCCCTTGTTGTGTCCCTAATACTAGGCCTATACATAGTGATACCTCCATGGTGGTACCATACCCAATTCCTGGAAGTGCCGCGTGATCCGTTGCATTTCTCAAGAGGAGAGGGCATAAAAGGCTTAGACTTGACTGGATGTTCGTAAGAGGTGCTACCGTTATCAAAGAGAATAGAGCTGTTGGTTGCAACTGAATCTGTTTCGTTGCCATTTCAGTTTGGACAGATTTGAGACATCAGGCCTACCGTCGAATCGGGCTAAAATGAGCGGCAAGTTGCTGTTGTTCGCGTTGGCGACCCTAGTCATGTCGCCTTTGGTACTCTCTAAGCCGGCGGAGGATCCGGACCGAGTCTTGACCCGTGCTGCTCGCAAGGCCGGGCCGCGTCTACCGGTGGAGAGCCAGCCTAGAGGCCGGCCCAGTAGGCCCATACCGCACCGCCCAAGACCACACGGCGGGTGCACCTGCGATGAACCGAGACTGGGTCAGGTGGAGCGGGACTTGGCCGACCTGGTGAGGAGGATGGGTGAGATGGAGTCACGGAACAAGGAAGACGATGTCAACATACAAAACCTACAAGATTCGAACCGCCGACAGCAGGCACAGGTATAAAACGACTCAAATCAAATCAACTTAAACTGCATGCTGATTGTATATGCTACCTCTTTGATAGGCCGCCCCGCCTTTAAATCTTTGGGTGAGCTATATGTGCTTGACTAACAATTTCGTAAACACAATTAACATGTGCCTTATAATTTACCATATTAGTATGTGATTAAATATTTACTGAAAAGTAAATTTTTACCAATAACATGCTGACAGTTTTTCAAAATATGCTGTAATACTTTTTTTTGTTTTACTAATTTATTTAAACCAATAGGAAGCAACCGATCCATGGTATCAAGTTGGAAAAACAAAATATTGACTTAGGCCTAAAGGTAATTTTTGCAGAGCACGGTATATTTTCAAAACTTTGATTTCCCGTTTATTAACAACCCAGATATCACGGGTCGTGGGCGAAAACCAGAGATTGACGAGACTGACCCGCTCACTTCAAAGCAGAGCAGAAACTTTGGAGGAGGACAACTCGCAGTTACGCGACGAGAACGAGCGTCTCCGCACCGTGCAAGATCAGCCGCAACCCGCCGTCAATCAGCGCACACGCTCCCCCGAGGAAGTCAACGACGGCCCGGTGGCAAACCAGAGATCCTCGATGCGGGACCTGAACGACGTGATGGGTAATCGCGAAGCTGAGATGATTGAGATGGGCGTGTTTCCACCGGTGAAGCCATCGAGACCCGAGGGACCTCCTCTGGGGCGTCCGGACCGCCGGCCAGGCAGCACCTTCGGTTCGTCGGGGCCGACATCTAAGTTACCGGACTCGGAGCAAATTGCGACTTCGCTGTTGGCGATGAATCAGGAGAATGAGATCTTGAAGAGACGGGTGAGTTTGATTGGAATGTAATGGTTGTTTTGATGATGAAAATACGAATGATGTCAAGCAAGGATAAAAGAGATGGGATGATGGAGAGGATACTAAAGATTTATTGGTAATGGCTTCGTTTTCTGCTGCTGATGATATTTTGGATGTTGCTGGTTTTGTTGTTGATGTTTTGAATTGTTTTGTTCTTTCCGTTGTTACTGCTAGCTGTTCAATAATATTTTTGTTTTGTCGTGGTATTGTTTTTTGCTTTGTTATTGGTTGTTTTGTTCCATTTGTTGCTTTTGTCGTTGGTTGGGGTGTACTAACTGTTGTGAACACAACCACAGATTAAAACCCTTGTCTTTCTTCTTCAACATGAACAGCTTGGTGAGTTGGAAGGCAGGATGAATCAGCAGGGCAGACAGCCACTCACCCCCGGGTCGGCACGGGGTAAGCCAGGACCCCAACTCCGCCCCGTACCGCCACCCGGTCAATCCTCCGACGAACTCGCCGAGAAAATCTCCCAACTGGAGCGTCTGGTGCTGGTGGCTCTCCGCAACCCGTCCGCCCAGTCACGCGGCCAGTCTGGGTTACAACGGCCTGCACCTGATGTGCCCCCATCTCGTCGTGGCAGCATCCCGGCCAAGAGTCAAGCCGTGGCTGTTGACAACATGCAAATGACTGATGATGACCTGGAGGCCATGTCTGACGTCTTGGACAGAGTGCAAAACAAGAGTAAGTCTTAGAATAACCATTCGGGTATGTGCCCAACGGGCTCTCTTGAGCCGCAAAAAATAGGAAATCATGCAGAAAAACAGCAGTACATGTAAATGGTAAATTGGGGCGGTAGGCCTTTTTGAATAAATAAAAATCATTTATTCGTTCAAACGATGGTTGGCTGACCATCGTTGGAATTGGAAACTGATACAAAAAGTAATCCACTTCCTTGAAAATGACAGTTCACCAGGTGCCATTCACTGGATGCTTGAAACTATGATTCACTTACAATCAAGTAAGGTATTTTATAATAATTTTGGTGGCTATTTGTTTCCAGTGTTTGCAGATTTTGGATATTACCTTTAAGTCTGGGTCCTGTAAACTGTCTCTTTGAACCAGGAACAATTTCCACGACCCTAGCTCTCACTTCCATCCCTTCTTTTCCCCTACTAACAGGCCCAGGAAAGAGCGCCTTCTCCGTGGCCAGCACCGGCATCACAGTAGGAGCAACCAACGACCCACGCGCCATCGAATTCGATCACGAATACGTCAACAAAGGAGGGGATTTCGACATGCGAAGGAATCGATTCGTCTGCGAGAACCGTGGCTTCTACTACGTCACATTCACGTAAGAAATGTACAGCCCTGCAAATCATGCAATCACGAAAAACTTAAAGCAACTGCCAATGGAAAAGTAAGGTGGCATTAATGACCAGCAGGAAGAAAAGTTTGCATTCCAACAAAACTTCAACACATTTCAACAAATTTCTGCATATGTCGCGACGGGACTGGCGAAATATGCTCATCTAAACCGGAACCTCGTCCTAGCCGAGCTCGCAATAACGAGAGTCGACTGTATCTTGGACTAAGGTTCATACTGCTGCTTTAAGTACAAAATGAAGAAATTCCATATTCCTTATTTTAGGAAGGGGTTGGAGTGGGTGCCGAACAGTGTAACAAAAGTGAACCCCTCTATCACAACATGAGTATGATATGAAGGAAAAAAATGTTGCATGTTCGTTTAGTTTCTGAAGTACATACGATGAAGCGTCAGATTTCGATCAAGCCATAACTATATGACCCTATTACTTCCAAAGTTCCCTGAATTGACGGTTGGTCTCATTTTCTGTCCTTTTGTCTCTCTAGGCTCCGTTCATACGACAACAAGTACCTGGGCGTCGCCCTGATGAAGAACGAGGAGCTAGAAACTGCGGTGTACGCGGACTCCAGCGAGCGTAACGTCATGCAATCACAGGCCGTCATCTTGCACATGGAGCCCGGCGATGAGCTCTGGCTGAGACACGCTCCGTCCGAGCACTTTGCCGTACACTCCGGGGAACATCGCTTCGTCACGTTCAGCGGGTATCTCATCTACAGGGGACGCTAGATCGCTGGTCGATGTTTTGAAGTTAATGCGGAATTATGCAACTAAAAAAATAATTCCCTGCTCTCTTTGCTTGATGACGAAGTTGCAATTGTTATATTTACCCAACAGAGGGCGCTAGACACGTTCCAGTGACTCGACTGTTATATCGATTAAAAGCTATTCATTTTCTTAAAAACATTGTTGTCAAACCGCTACATTAACTGTGGTGAAAACAAGTCAAAGTAATGTACATGTAACATCAATTATGTGTAAGCAACATACACAATTCGGCACTGTTTGCGCTTGAGACGGTTATTTAATCATCTCTTATTCAGATCGGCGTAAAATTTGAGCCAATCAGATCGTGTCTTTTATATCATTGTTTGGGATCTGCTGCTTCTCGTCTTGCGATTGGTCAAATATTGCTACGCGCTCAGCATTGCGCATGATACTGTATAAATAAACCTCATATGTAAATATTATTTGTGTGCTTTAGTTACTTTTACTACTTTTGAACTTTTTTTAAGTCTTCTTTTTTACTGTACCATTATTAAATTATTAAGCCTAGGCCTATTATTTTTTCAAAAGTATAATATTCACCCAAAAATGTATTCGTTATTCGTTTTTATATTATGTCATCTTTATTCCAATATTCCTGTAAAAGTGTCTGCAGCAGTAACCATTAAACAACGTCTCTTATATTTTCCTTCTCTTGTCTTAGGATGAATTCTAAACGGTTTAATTACATGTATACAAAGACGCATATTGCATTCTAAGTGAATGCGAAGTTATAATAGCTCCTTGAATGGCAACATTGGGTGGGACTCTGATATACATTGTATTGGTCCTGGGTATCGTTTCCATTTTATGATAATCAGCGCCACTAGCACTGCGGAACGTCAACCTCATAACGTATCAGATGTTGACACAAATAGCAATTCAACATGGACATTTATTTCCGGGGTAAATCATCGGAAACGAATCGGACACAGTGACGTCGCTGGGGGGGATCCCCCTCCAGTAGTTTGTGAAGATCGGACGGTTCTCCACACGTGTCTGTCTCGGTCCGAATACTAGCTGAGAAGCTTTTCCGCAAACAAGACCTGGTTAACAATTTCAATACAACGAAAAATGCATGCTGCACACGAAGTGTTCTTCAATTGCGTAAGAAAAACTCGGAAAGCCATGCAAAGTTGTGCAAAATTGTTATTTTTAATAGCTTAATGAAATTTCACGGAAATGATTCTATGACTCTGATCCATTTTTTTTTTCAAAGCAAGTGGTCCATTAATACTTGGCAATAGCATCCACACTTAAAAACAATCTAAGCAATACTTTAATAAAAATGCATATAAACTGCAAGCTTTTTTTTTTATAAACATACACAACAAGAGTTTTACAATAAATTATTTCAGCAAGCTTTAAAATCGGACTTTTTTTTAACAGCTTAAAGGTCGGTGTCCATGAGTTTTAAACTCTACAATTTCAAATATAAAACTCTGTTTATTTTATGCATATTAAATATGGGAATGGGTCCTATTAATTAAGTACATTAATAATATACGTTTGGTTTATAAAGTTTATAAAATGTTCAATCTTGGCAGTGCTAAAAGTCATGTTGTGAGGTTAAACCGTTATGGGTTCTTCTTAAGAGTAAAAACGACTTTTTGGCTTTTAATGAAAATAAGTACTTCATTATTATATTAATTAATCAATTAATTATGCACGGCTTAATCACGCTTCCTTTACAGGGATGTGTTCCTCTGTTTTTAACGGAACAGTTGTCCACATTTTAAGAAACTGGCACTTGAAAAGCCAAGAAATGGCTAAAGTGAAAGTACTTTAAATAAATAAATAAATAAATAAATACAAAATAAGAAAAAAATCAGCTGGGAAAAAAATGTCTTTCGGGTTAATGCATCAATAACAAATAAACCATAAGTACCCTGATCATCCTTCTTTAACTCTTTGGCGAAACGGATACAATACTCTTCAACAGAAATATATGCGCATCAAAATAAATAGATCTTGAAAAAGACAAGAAACGACAGTTGTGAAAGTAAGTATTTCATAAACACTTTAGCTGGAAAAATATATGTATACGGTCTTCCATGTTATTTCAATAAACCAAAGTACCCTGATAGGCCTAATGAAACTTTAACATTTGGCAAAATAATACCTTCAAAAGATATATGTGCATCAACATAAAACAGCTTTTGAAAAGACAAGAAATGGCGATGGTGAAAGTACGTATTTCAGAAACACTTCAGCTGGGAAATAAAAACTAAGATAATTCTGGTTAACTCTTTCAGTGCCAAAGTCGTATACGAGATATATTTGTTGGTTCAAAATTGCCAAACCTCGTACATGTACGAGGTAGAATAAGCATGCTATCACAAGGGGGCGCTCTCGCTCTTTCTAATAGCTTTTTCATTCAGGTACGACCTGTATTTATTTGTTTCATTCGATTTCGAGTTCTAGTTCTTGCGAGAGGGTTCAGCATGCATACTGCAAAAAGTGCGGAATTGAAATTCCCCTGTGTGCAGGACAGTGTTTCAGGGTGTATCACTATGTACCTGACTGCTATTGACTTTCCAATATTCTAAGGATATATCAGGGAGCAACAACAACAAATTTAGTGAGTAAAACTTATTTACTTTTTTTGACAGAATTTTGAACAATTAAAAAAAAAACGCTCGAAGTTGCAGTGGGCACTTTAGGGTTAAACTTTTCAAATTTTGCGGGCACTGAAAGAGTTAATGCGTAAGTTAAGTAAACCAAAACTATCCTGATCATTTAACTTTTGGCAAAATGATACATAACTTCAGCAGATTATATGTGCATCAACAAAACAGCTCCTGAAAAGACAAGAAATAGCGACTGTGAAAGTACAAGTATTTCAGAAAATTTCAGATAGGAAAAAATAAATGGTCTCTCAGGTTAATGCATCAATTAGCCTAAGTAATGCCCTGATCATGCTACTTTAACTTTTGACAAACTGATACTTTGCTTCAACAGATATACTTGCATTAATAAACAGCTTTTTAACCTTTAGTTTCTTTTAACTAACACTATTTGGCAATGTTAATGATAATTTGGTAATTAAGATTAATAAGCTGAACTTGAGACAAATAATATCCCGAAAGTACCCTGAAAATGCTATATTAATTTTGGCAAAACAATACATAACTTCGACAGATATACTTTAAGATTTACTTTCGTTTAACTACATGTAATATGGCAATGTTAACGATAAAACAGATTAATAAGCTGAACTTGAGATATATGGCAGTAGGCGATACCTAGGGGCAGGAAACAAATCGTTTCATTTTGTCCATTCACACTACAGCACAGTCCTAAGCTATATATATATTTTATATTATATTTTATATTTTAAGTCTAAATAGCATAAGATATTATAAGACAATAATCTATACTTGCTTTCAGTTTACTTTTTAAAAATACTGAGAAATTCAACTGTGGATAAGGTTACTTGTCAAATGTAATTCTTTAAAACAGTACCCTACGTTAGAACTGAAGGCAAGGCACTGACTATGTGAAACCTGCAGTTGCTACCGTCGCTACGGTTAAATGTGACAACTGATAGAAAAAAAAAATTGGAGTTGTAAGGGTAGGGGTGGGTGAGAGGGTAGGGGTGGGTGAGGGGGTCGGGGAGGAGTAGGGTTGGGTTTTTTGGTCACTGCTTCCAAACCACCCCCACCAGATAAACATGTTTAAACACAGAATTTGTGTCATCAGAACCTTTTAAGGCTGAACTCAAAAATAAATAAATTAACGGACAAACAAATTTACCCCATAGCTGAGGTTACTGATTGCAAAAGTGGAATGAGTTGAAACAAAATATAGGGAAAAGATGCAAAATATATCAATAGATAAACAAACAGGAACAAAATATGAAAGCCAATTTCTGCAGATTAAACTCTACTTCAACCGCACACACAAAGTATTAAATCGTTTCTCTCCCAAAAATAATGCTTAAAACAAACATGGCAAACCAAGAAGTTTTACAAGTTGCCCCCAAAACAATCATGCACTTAATATTCATAAACCTAGCATTTGCATAATATCAGTAAATATTCATAAAACAATCATTTGCATTTACACTAAATTGGTACATCCAATCAAAGACTTTGGCACGAAATAAAACACAACCACTCTGACCAGTACAAACACACACTTTCAATTATTGTAAAAACAAAATGCAAATAAGTTCACAACAATCACACTTGTTCAAACTGCACCTATTGTTGTCTTATCTAAAATATATATATCACTCATTAATTTTGTCAGCCAGATTTTCACAAAACACTACTCAATGCACTAATTCAATGACACAAAAACAAACGCCACACAACATGCATGTACAAAACACACAGAGCCTTTTTAAAAGGCAAAAAAATTATAGCTATCCACTCTGCATATTCATGAAGAGAGTATGCATATTGATGAGGTAATGTGCATATTCACTGTATATTCTAATCAGCCATGGTCTCGGAGGTTCTTCAATATCTCATTATTTCTATCTAAGATTGTATGTCATATTTCCACTTATTCAGTCTTTCATTTTTTGTCACGCACCAAGTTTGACCATGAACTTACATGCAGTTGAATTTCCGAACATCATTTCAGTGAAAACTTTACTTGTGAAGAAAAACAACTTCGCTGTCTTTCATTCTTTGTTTTACTTTAATAGGCCTACTTCTCACCCTTGCTGGCCATCTCAGCGATATGCTTAGCGATGTTATCGAAGCTATCCTTCCCCATGTAGTCCATTTGACCCATTTCCCAGTCTTCCTGCTTAGAGGCCTTCATCGGCAAGTCATCTGCTGATATGGGACGGGCCAGGACAGGAACGGGCCCGAGATGAAACATCCCTAGCTTATCAGACTGCTCGTCAATACCCTGAAACAAAATGGATGCCAAAATCACAAATTGAATTCTTCTACGAACACTTTTTGAAATGTCTTTCTGCATTGTGTGACGTATGTCTTTCCTATCATTATCCTTACTAAGTTACTATCCCTTCACGTTAAATGAGCCATGATTAGTGAACAGGATTTTGCTAACAGTTTTAATCATGTGTAAAAAAATAAGAGCAGTTACTTCTATCAGAACACATTTTCCGTGACCAAAATGAGCTAGAACTGTAAAATGGATTTTTTTTTTGGGGGGGGGATATTTTGGGGGGGGGGGGGGGGGTGGCCAGGGGGGTGTTATTTGTGGGGGTGGGGCATGTGTGGTTGTGGGGTGCACAGTGGTCGTGGCGCGGGAGGGGGATAGGTCCCACAAAGTGACATTATATCATCATCAGGGGCATTTTTCCATACCAAGCAAGAAGGTCACATTGCTTTTAGGTTTTGCATTTGCTCTTATTTTACTGTTGTCATTACCTGTGGTTGTTCCTCGGTCTTCATACCCATTCCAGCAACCTCGGCCATATGCTTGGCGATATTATCAAAGCTGTCTTTACCCATGTAGTCCATCTGTCCCTTCTCCCAGTCTTCAAGATGAGAGAACTCATCCTCAACATCATCAGGAGGCAGGTCCTCCTCTGCTGCGGCAGTGGGGCCGCCCTCCAATTCACTGGTCTCCACGCACAGCTTGCCAGACTTGATCAACAAATCCACAATCTGAAAGCGTAATTAAACGATCCAGAACACAATTTCTTTGGGGGGGGGGGCAAAAAAAGTTTTGTTCCCGAAAAGTGGGTCCAAAAATGTCCCGCCACAAATTTAATTTGAAAAGCAAGGGGAGGGGGTGCAAATGTATTGCTTTTGTGGAGTTTTGTATGCAATGGCTGACGTTTAGCGACGTTACTAAAACAAATTAGGTTCGTTTTTTTTAGTGGGGGGGGGGGGGGCATGGCCCCCGTGGCCCCTCCCCCTTGGATCCGCCATTGTACTGTACATTCACTGAGGCCCCCTTCAATGGAGAAACTATTGTGCCAGCTATTGTACAAAGCAACTGCCCCATGACAGATTATCTGAACGATCTGAACATGACGACGATCTGAACATTAGCTACACAATCATTTCGGGACCTCTGTGAGTGTCCGGAGATAGCTAGCTCGGACTCGTCTTTAGTTCAACCCTAAAAATCGCCTTTGCAATTCTGAGATCTTGCTAATTAGGTTATAAGAAAAAAAAGCCATGAAGAAAGGAGTACATGTGTTCTTTCGTATCGCCCCCATTTTTACATCTTTAAGCCATACACGTTTTATTTACAAAACAGGAAAAGATTTGCCGAGCATCATATTCCTCAAAACACCAATCAAAGAACTTCAGGTGTTTTATAGATTCTTGTTCTCTAATTTACCTTCGGTTTTTCTACAGCCAATCCACCGCCACCACCACCCATCTCATCAGCGACGATGTTATCATCCAAGCCGTCCTCGCCAAAATCAAACATCGGTCCATTCTCTATGTCCTTCTCGGGGGTGCTGGTTCCCATCGGCAAACTGTCAGCCGACTCATTGGGACTAGTCATAGGATTAACCTCCACACAAAGATTCCCAGATTTGATTAACAGATCTACGACCTGCAACAAAAAAGAGATGAGAAAATCACTGCTTTTGAATTGACTCAGGAAAGGAAAATGCCAAAAAGCGACCAATCAGAAGTAAGGCCTCTTGGGATTTTTCTTTTGCACTATCTCAAGTATATCTATAGGAATTTTTTTACGGTAAAAACATGTTGGATTGCTGTACAGATTTGAAGAAATTCGCTTATTTTCAATTTATTTTATTAATTTTTTTTGTCTGCAGCACCTTTGGTTTGTCTCCCTCTACGGCAATGTTGTCATCGACTTCTCCCTTTTTTTCGTTCTGATCCGAGTCCTCAGTTGGCGAGTCTTCTGGCAACATGGTAGAGATGCTCAACGGATCAACTTCCACACAAAGTTTTCCAGACTTGATCAACAATTCAATGATCTACCAACAACAAAAAACAGATTCAAAACAAAAAGACAAATACCACAGAGTAAAGTCCCCCGCTAGCCAGTACTGGCCCAAGGCTTTCTCAAGTTTCCTAGACACAAAATTACTAGGAAGAGTTCCCTTCCAGTTACTGTTACCCTAAGCTTTACGGCTTAACCCAGATATATAACAAAGGGCCAGTGGATAGAGATTCGAACATCGGACGCTCTGATCATGAGTCACAAAACTTATCCTCTAGCCCACAGGCTCCCCATGTGTACAATCACTTTAAATATGTAACAAAACTTTAAATTTGACCTCACCTTTGGTTTCTGAGGTAGACATCTCATGAGACGTCAGATAACAGGATTTCAGAATACCTTTACCAGGACTTGATTCAAGATAAGTTTGAATTTTATTTTGTTCACTTTTTTTCCATTTCTCACTTTTTGTTTGTCACCAAACTTCTCGTCAGGCCCCCCAGCGATGTGCTTGGCAAAAATGTCTTCGTAGACGTCTTTGCCCAGGTAGTCAATCTGTCCCTTTTCCAACTCTTGCTGAAAGGCGTCCGCAATAGGCAAGAATTCTGCCGGCAGAATAATGTCCTGCAGTATTTAAAAAGAAAACAAAACAATTGATAATTTTGTTTTAAAGCTACAAATGCTAACTTTCCATTAGAAACAAAGACCTTAACAAGTAATTCAACACTTGAGAAGAGACTAACTCCACCATTAAGGTCTCCATTGTGTTAAAAGACTTAAACCTGAATACATTGTCTGTATAGTCTTTTCTCAAGCAATGTCACTACAACCTGCAAATATATCAACACTCCCAAGCACTTGGGACTTTCTTCCCCACATTTACAAAAAAAGAGAGAAGATTTTGGATGGTTAAGATCTTTTTTCATTCATTTAAAAGTATTTTTGGTTTTACTTCTTCAACAAGTTTTGGTGTGAAGCCCATCTTGTCCTTTTTGCTAGCCTCATCAGCAACGATATTATCATCGACGACGTCCCCTGCCATATAGAACATGGTTCCCAAGTCCTTCAGAGATGGTGGTTGGGTTGGTTTGTCTTCTGTTGGCACGTCAGTTTCCTGGAATAATGAAGCCACAACAGATCATCTCTTAATTGTAAGTTTACCTTTGTGAGCCAATTAACATGTCACATCACTGTAGGCTAAAGGTTTGTTTTTAATTCCACCATACCTTTGGTTTATCATCCGACTTTTCACTCGTGCCAGCCATCTCAGCGATGTATTTGGCGATGTTTTCAAAGCTGTCTTTGCCCAAGTAGTCAATCTGTCCTTTCTCCCACTCCTCCTGAGTTGTGACCTTGATTTCAACATCCTAGTGCAAGACAAACACAGATGCCAAAAATATATTTTCAAAAAAATGAAAAACATCATGAAAAAGAACTCCGAAAAAATACAAATAAAAACTCTAAGCCTCTGAAAACAAGTCAATCTCAGCTCCATCACAAGTCAATCGCAAGTCACAAGACAATCACAAGTCAATCACAAGTCAGTCACAAGTCAATTACAAGTCAATCACAAGACATTCACAAGGCAATCACAAGTCAATCACAAGTTTACCCCAAGTCAACCCCAAGTCAATCACAAGTCAATCACAAGTCATCCGGTCCCAAGTTAACTCACAATTAAGCTTATGACAAAGGCATTCCTTTGTTGTTGTCTATTCTCTGTCTATTCTCATACGACTGGACTTGTGAAATGACTTGTGATTTATTTGTGACCAGCATGTGATGCAGCCTTCTCATGATCCGTACGACTTGTCACCTTTTTGTCGTCGAACTTGACTTTGCCACTCTCCACATCAGCGATGTGCTTGGCGATCTTTTCAAAGCTGTCTTTTCCCAAGTAGTCAATCTGTCCCTTCTCCCAATCCTCCTGATGCGAGGCCTTGTCATCTTCAGTACCCTGCAAGAAACAAACAAACAAACAAACAAACAATTACCCAACAACCGAACATTAACAAACAAACCAATCAGTAATTCTTTCAAGTAGCTACCATAAAGTTATCGCTCTTGTACATGGTATCATGTAATATAATGTCAGTTTTGTTTTGTTTTACTTCTTTATTAATACCTGTGGCTTTCCTTCCAATTTCTTGCTCTTGCTGGCGATTAACTTGGCGATGTAGTCAATGCTGATGTAGTCCGCGTGACCCTGTTGCTGAGGCTGATGGGATACCTCGTCGCTAGGCATGCCTTCTGTCGACACTGTGGGGCTACCATCCTTCAGAAACTGCCAAAAATCATCAAAACCCTGCAATTATAACAAAATACAAATAAAAGAATTAAATGTTTCTATTACATATAGTATGCACTATTTCCAAAGGGAGAAATGTCTTGGACTGACTAGTATGAAGTGAGCCCTCTTGTGTCACTTTTGCCTCATCTAAAATGTCTAAAACATCCCTATCTAGATTTTTTTTAAGCCGCACAAACATAAAATATGTAAAACTGACTTCCACCTTTTAAGTCAATGGCATGGAGCAGCAACGCAACACAAAATTTAATCGCACCGAAAACTTCACTTAGAAACAGCTACAGTAACCCAACTTATGTATTTTGCTTGTGACAGTTCTTTAAATTGGCGGAATTTTGCTAATTTTTAGCATAATTTTTTTTTCTCAATATATCTGCTTAGCTGAGTTTAATTAAACTCTCACCGCAGTCAGAATTCGCTACAGCAGAGAATCTGAAATGAACTTTGACCTGTTCTTATCTAAATGAACTTTGACCTGTACTTATCTGCAGCATTATAATCAAAGGATTAAAGTGCATTGCAAAACTGTCATGTTTCTGTTGTTGGACGTCAGTAAAAAAAAATTGCGGTTGATCAATACTTCTGTATGATAAATCACGAAGAAACTGACAAATTAATCAATGCCATTGTGCAGTGATGGGACGTTTTTTCTGCATGAAACCTTTTGAGGCAACAAATTTGTTTTCAATATCATGCCATTTCCTTTAAAAACGCTGGACACATACAAATTCCACAGAGTAACAACTAATTCGGTTTTTTTTTCTATTGGATAAATTTATTCCTTTGCACAACATACGCAAACATTTGTTTACATGGCCTGACTGTAGTAGATTAACACGATACTTTTTGTTAAATATGCTACGATTGAAATTCTTAAACCTACTCTAAAAGTATATCTGTGTATATTTTCAGCAAATAACAGCAAAAGGAAGAGAGAGTGGGACTTTCTCTTGGGACAAGTCAAAATTACTCTTGAAATTGAGAAGCTGGTCCCCGTCAGCAAAGAAATAGCGCCCTCTATCTTCAAATATGAGGGCATAAAATTGTACAGAAGTTGCATTTTGTTTTCAATGTCTGATCTTGTGTCATTACTCTAATGCCAGATATTTATTCTAATTTCAAACAAATGTTTATGTTTACAAATCCTGTTATTTTGGGGCTGAAATAAATCAGTTTTTCCCAAAAAATCTCAGAGGCGGGGCACTGCCTCATGTCCGCGAATTTCAGAAGGGGGTGGCGCATAATAATGGTTAAACAACAAACACGCCCGAAACTAACTCAAGTTGAGAAAACATTGTCTATCACTCCAAAAATCTGACGATCACAAAAAGACGAATAAATATGGCTCATGCCCTTGAGGTAATTATAAGAATTTTGAAAATGCATGCATATGCTCAGCGAAAAAGGAAATGCATGAATGATATACAACTGAAAGCGAAATTTAGCGAAATCAGAAAAGGTTTCATGAATTAAGACCCAAAAAAACCCCCAAATATTGGAACTACCTAGCTTTTTTGATTAAAATTCTATAAACTTTTTAAAATGTGGCATTGCTGATGACGTTTGGCACACTAAGTTGCATTTTATTTCTACACTAACCAATACTAACATATTTAATTCACAGTCTAAAAGCACCGATAACTTAGGAACAAATACTGGAAGATTTTGCAGCATATTAATTATGAGCACTATGTTTACATACGCCATATAGGGAAAGAATTATCACGATCACACATTACCAACATCACAACAGTGCATGCTTTTTTTTTTACCTTAATAATTTATCAGAAATTTATAACTATTCAAGAGAATTTTGTGAGTTTCGTCAACGGAAACACTATCCTAAGTCAAAGCAAGACACTTGTTGGATGTGTAGAAAAGACTTAAGGACAGGCGGAGAGTATGTTACCTCCCTAAAAACTACCTCTCCTCCTCAACAACAAAATCTAAAAAAAAAAAGAAATAAGAAAATAAAATATACTTTAAAAACCTTGTGGCTATTCAAACACCTCACACACCAAAGTCTAGAGGATTTACAGACATTTTTCCAGAACTTTCTGAAAAAAGTGGATTTTTTTTTTTTCCAACGAACTTGCAGTGACTGACATCACTGCACTAACAAGCATGATACTGTCTTCTTTGAATAAAATACCAAGCCTAGGATTAAATCTTGAGAAACAAAAAATAGTCAGCTACTTCCTTTTTTGGACTAACTAACCTTGGCTTAAGTAAAAAAAAAAGTAAAACAGGAGGAGTCAGGTCGGCTTGGCGGTACTTTCCTCGCCTTCCAACGCTATGGCCCGGGTTCGATTCCTGCCCTGGTCCACATGTGGATTAGGTTTTCAGTCCCTACCTGATTCTGTGGGTTTCCCCCAGAATACTCTTCTGGGGTTTCCTCCCACCTCTAAAACTGAAATTTCCTCTCATTTTCCTCTCTACATGTTTCTTCAGGCTTGCGAGCTACAGTGCCTGGGGCACTTTTGAGGAATCCTTGGTTTCATTACCAGGGACAAAGTACTCCTAAATTAAAAAAAAAAGGAACCATAGTAAACGGTCTAAAACTACAATAAACGAAACCCTGATTTGGGGTTACGTTTTCTGGTGCCTAACAAATATAAACTTTTTAGTTATATATCTGTGGGTATGAATCACACCTGAGATACATGTATGCCTGAAATTGTTTTTTTTTCTAAAATAACTGGAACAAAGGCATGAAAGTCAAATCCTAATTCTAAAAGTTTTCTAGAATATTCGTAAAAAAAGGAAACTAAACTCTAACTAGGATTTAATTGCCTATAAATCTAAGCAAAGGGAAAATGAAAGGTGGAAAAGGTGAAATGCATTGCAGCATTAAAAAAAAATCATGCAATTAATATTCATTAACCAACTATTTGCATAATATGAATATGGAGGACTTTGGCAAAAACTGATATTAAAGGAGCCACTCTTGACTACATAATTCCATGTCTCATTTGCATAAGGTCACAGTTGCACATTGTCCTTCACAGTTATCATGGTAATGACGTTGTAAATAAAATGCTGTTGTTCATTTAGTTGTTTTTAGTTGTTTTCTCATCTTACATATGTACACACTGCTCACAAGTTTCACCTAAAGATATGTGTTTCGGTACGAAAATAACTATGCTACTCTACAAGGAATATACACTAACTCTTTAAGACAGGGAAGCATTTCCTACAGCCAATAGAGTACTAGCCACTCTGCATATTCATGAAGAGTATGCATATTCATGATCTACATACATGTATGCACAGTTATTATTACAAATTTTAATCAGCCATAGTCATTAATTTTTTTGTCTATTTTTTGCTCTTTATTTGTTGTACTTTTCACAAAAATTGTGATTAACACTTGGGGTTAAATGTTTCTTTCATATCCAGACGGCGGCAAAATTTAACCCTCAAACAACTGCGTTCACTCAAGAATTTTGTTTGGCAACGGTTGGATTTTACTGCCACAACTCATCATAGAGAAGGCTCGTTATTTACTTCACGGCCAAATTCCCCACGCCAAATATACTGAACAGATCTAGAGAGTAGGTATGTGCCACAATGGTCACTCTAAGTAGGCAATCACACAAAATAAAAACATTCTGAAGATTTACCTTAAGTGAGTATAAAGACTGGTTACATTATCTTTGGATTTAAACTGATGACTAAATTAAATTAAAAAAATTTAAAAACCTTTATTTTATAACCCCGTCTTTGAGCATGATTACTCTTAAAATGTTTAAAGGGACGTGTAAGTAAGCTGTGAGATCGTTCGTCTCAGGGCCATTGTTACACTTCAATCTTTCGGACTGAAAGTTACTTTCAGATGTTATCATTTCACTTCAGAAATTTAATAATGAAAAGAATAAAATAAAGAACAATAAACCTTCATCAAGATACGTGTATATACTCTCTATTTCGAGCGATTTATTTCAAGTTCCGAACTTGCCCTCATCAGCAAAAAGGCCTTACAAATTTTTCACAGTAAAGAGAAAATTACTTAATGACCCTCTGCAGTCTTGTCCCAGGAAAATAAAATAATACTCATTCGGATGGGCACGTTTGAGTTTTAGCCAGAGATAGGCACGTTTCCGCTGTTGCCAACCAATCAGATTGACCCTTTTATGAGTTGTAGCTAAGAGTTTTCTAGGAAGCCGCTCGCAAACTGGTTTTATCGGCCTCCCCTTTCTGAAAAAAAAAAACCCACCACAGTGGTTGCTTTGGCAATGTGCTGTGAGTTAAAAATAATAACATGGTTCTTTTCAAAGACTTGTCTATTTTGTGACAAAAATTGAGATCTTGAAAAAAGGGTAACATCAAACCCTTTAAGTTTTAGTGCTTGGGATAAGGTCAACAAAGTTCTGCCTCAAACACGATGCTAGGATAAAAAAAAAAAAAAGGCCTTGACATTCAACAAAATGCTCCTGAAAAAAAAATTGTCTTGGAATTAACTTCTCTGGATGACACCCACCCTCTCTGGCTGGCAATTTCAACAAGGCCAGCCCAGCAGTCAAAATTAATCAGGTGACTGTTTTTAACAGTTGAGTGCTCCCTGCTTTCATAAAGCAGGATTGACTGGCTGTGATTGTTATGAAACCTGATATAGCTATGCTTTGACTGTAGGAGACTGATAAGCCAGCTGTGCCTACCAGTCACCTGCTTTTGTCTGTTGATGGAATTTGACTGTCACAGTGCCTTTGCAAGAAATATGATCTGACTGTTGGTGACTAGCCTGTGTAAAAGGCATGGTAGGGCAACAGGATTGAATTTTTGACTGTCTGTGACTGATCAAACAAAAGGAGGGTTAATTCATAAGAAAGATGGCTGTGGCACACAGAGTAACATTGCCATATCTAATTGACAACATCCTGGGAAACCTAACTCTTCATATCCAAATTTTTTTTAAACATCTTTGATAACTTGGAGAACTAATTCCTAGAGCCTTGAAAGTGAATGGAAAAAGCTTGCACTACAAGTTCTAAACTATGCACGTAATAAGTTCGAGAAGTATTGCTTGATTTCATTCACGTACTGTGTTGAAGCCACAGTAACGTTTTATACAAGACAGTATTTGTATATTTGTAATTTTTCTTTTTTTTACACCAAAGAAAACTAACTTTTGGTTTTTAATCAAGTGGAACTTGATTTCTCCGAAATTTTTAAATCAGACTGGGATCGTCAACCACGTCACATGATCTGATTTGAATAAAATCATGATTTGTGTAAATTCCTAAAAAATAAAAATACTCAAAAAGGACAATCCATATTTCCATAGTCCAAAAAACTAATGCTGAACCTCTGTTTTTGTTATTTCAAATGAGGGTCTGATCAAACAATCACATAAAGCACACAATTTTTTCTAAGTACAAAATAAAATTTAGATTTTAGCCGAAAGGGTTAACAGTTTTAACACAGGTCATAAGAAGTTACAAGTGGCAGAATCTAAGCTGATTTTCGCTTAGCAGTTATATTGAGTAAGCGATTATGCTTTCACAGCTTTACAAACTTTGACGTTTATCAGCTTTTGAGTTTTGGGGTCGACACACAAAGTAACCCCTGGACTGACATGATGGGTTTCAGAACCCAATCTCATCGGAGACCATTTTCCAATACGAGTTAAAAGCTTCACATTGCATTTTTTTTAGGGTTTGTTTTTTGTTTCTTTTTATTTCTTCGGCACCTTTGGTATGGCCCCGGTCGTTTCTTTCTTGCTCGCCACCTCGGCCATGTGCTTGGCGATATTATCGAAGCTGTCCTTCCCAAGGTAGTCAATCTGTCCCTTCTCCCAGTCCTCTTGGTGCGAGACGTCGGGCAGGGAGCCTTCTGACAGCGTGGGGCTGCCCATCGGGCTAGCCTCTAAACGGAGCTTGCCGAGCTTACCCGACAAATCAATCCCCTGCAACAGAGTAAACAAAGTAAACAACAACAAAAACAAACAAGGGGGAAAGACATTGGTAAAAATGTCAAAAAAATGAGTCACATAAACTGAAAATTTTTCCATTTCTTGTTTTTGTAAGATGGGAAACAGTAGAACACACAATTTTTAGCCCTAGCCCGTCCAAATTACTGTACAGGGTGGTCCACAAACACCTCGACACTTTTTCAGACGCAGATTTCTTGGAATTGGGGAGACATGCTAAAATTGTTTCAGGATATTCTTAAACTACTGCATCTTCGTGGTATATGAGACTGAAAATGCTGAAAATAATACCTAAATTAAGAAACATGAGAAATGTCGATTGTTTACAGAAAGATGGTCAAAAACTAGTTTTTCCACATGCTAGCCTATGAGATATGGTCAACAACACAATAGCACTGCACGCACAAAGAACTTCAATATATTATGTCTACATAATTGCCACAGATGTGGACAAACTAGTTTTGACCATTCTTCTGTAAATGGCCGCTATTTCTTAATTTCAGCTTTATTTGCAACATCGTTTTCACCATATACGACCAAGATCTTGCAGTTTAGGAATATCTAAAAACAATTTCAACATGTCTCTTCAATTTTGAGAAATCTGCCTCTGAAAAAGTGTAAAGTTTTTTGGACCACGTCATCTAAAAACCACATCATCTAAAAACAGAACAAACAAGGGCAGAAACGGCAAGCGTGACAACATCATACAAAGCTGAAAGGTCCAACTCATAATAAACCAATCCACTAAGTCTGATAGGTCATTTTCAGTCGCTACGCCACAACTCACACCACCTAAACTGATTGTGCAAGTTACCCCACAATTTATTGCGCAAGTCGCGGACTTACACACTATGAGACTTTCGTGAAATGCGTCATAAGTGCAATGCTGCGCAGCGTAAAATGATGCGCAGCTTATGCAATTAATTATGGCGCAGGCGGAGTTGCGCCATTGCGTAAAGTTTCGTGAAATCGGCTGCTGAAGGGATCAAGGAGGGGCACGCGTTGTCGCTCACATGCGCAGTGGACTAGGCCTACAGGATCGCTCTATTGCAAAACTCCAGAGATTATCGTTTGAAGATCATACCTGTTCATGCTCAATGTTCGGCCTGATGTTGGCCAGGAAGATATCCCACCATTTCTTGACGTATTTCAAGTCGTGCCCGTTGCCGCAACCCTCGGGCGGTGACAGGCAATTGGTGTTGGGGTAGTAGGTGTACAACCAGGGCTTGGCTGTACCGATGAAGTGAACGATCTTAATACCCTGGCCAAATCTGTAATTACAAACAATCGCAGAGAATTAGGTCAGGGATAGATCGACTGATAGATCGATTCCAGTGATTAAAGGTACGGTAGATCATTTGTAATTTGTGCGTTTTTTTGTTTGAAGCAACAAAAGTGCTCAAAATCTACACAAGGGTGCTTAACAACTAACCTGATGAAGTTTTAGCTCAGTGAATGCTGTTATTCCAAGAAAACAATATTCTAGGATCTCGATTTCAATTCAAAAGTCATGTTTTGTATTGCGCCCGAAATCAGCATCCGGGACACGTTCTCATTCAGCCGATTGCAGATACGTGATGTCAAGCATAAACCGACAAATTATAGCAACCACACGTCGTGTCAACGCTTGCGCACACCCATTCACGGCTTCGCCAAATTACAAACGAACAACTAACGGAAATTTTAAAAAATGCGTCTTTAGACACATCTTTGGAAATAACCTTCTGTTATTGTTTTCTTCAAAATGACAGCTTGCCAGAAAGAATAATTTCACAGGGAGTTTAGTCCCGTTACTATCTTTAAACCAAGTGTACCTTTCAACACTAATTTTTTCAGTGACTTTTTGGATAGCTGCAAATGATATACTCTACCTTTAAATTATTGTAAGTACTTTCTGTGGTTAACTAGAATGTAGTCTGGTGCTTTTCACATTCCTAGTAAATAATGCCAAGAGGTTGGGTCAAGGTACCTTTCTAAGGCAGGTCGGTATGAGTAGCTGACTGCTGACGTCATATTATAGATGAATGGTAGATGGTACTTGATGTCTAACGTGGACCAGTTACTGAAGTAGGTGTTAAGCAACCCCTGGTCGCCACCTGTCAAGATGAAACAAGACAATCAATTACAGGAATGATTCTTAAAGGGAATTTTTTGGGAACATATTTTGTGTAACTTTCTACTCTTAAATGTATAACGGTACCAAAATACCCCTGAAAATGGCAAAACGAAACTTGAAAATAGGATTAAATGGGATAGAAAGGTGCATTTCCAAGGATTGCATTAAAAAAAATACATTTCATGAGCCCAATTTGGCATTTCTAATGAGCAACAGTATTGCCAAAAAAAACTGGTTTAATATTTATTGTAATGTGGAACAGTGTGGATTATTTTCACAGTATTCAAATACTGTGAACAATTGTTTTTTTTGTCATTGGTCTTCCTCAAATAATCACATGTATTGTACTTTCCTGGACCATGACCACCACAGGAAATAAAGGAAACAACAAGACTAATTTCCTTTTGATTTTGAGAGTCATTTCCAAAAACAAATAATGTGTACCAGTTCCATGAATTGTGGCTTCCCAGGATTACAAAGTTATTTTGATGTTGATGTTTAAAATTCTAGTTCCACAAAAATTACAGAGGCATGGGGTTGAGATTTAAGCTTACCGTCGAAGCTGCCCTGTGTCACGGCACATTGTAGTATGCCCTGGTATGTTTCCTCCGACGGACAGAAGACAAAGACACCGGAGTTGAAGATATCTGGCCAGCCGACGTCTGGCGCCGCTGAAAATTCATCCCTCTCAAACAGATCATCAACGTTTTGAAGAACCTACAGCAATCGAAAAAAAATGCTTTTAAAATTGGACGATTGTTTACCAAATATGAGCACCGTTTCTGAAGAAGGGTCTGTGTTTTTAATGTGTCCAAGTTGGTAATGAGTAACTCCATTTTATATTAATAGCCACAGAAAACTAGTAGCCTGGTAATATTCAGTGTTGTTTAAAACTTGTATTCGGCATACCTAACGCAAAATTATGATTATGTGAAAAAAGTACAAATATATCAACATGCAACCCTGTTGCTCAAACTCATCAAACCGTCAAGCATGTCAAGCCAAGCATTAATACACACACTTGTACTTGTTTTTTCCCTCATACTTGACTACAAACTCAGCCAAATTTCGAGGTGCTCCAAATAGACACTATTATTTTCATGTATGTGCTAAGCCAACATTGGCCGAGTACCAGTCAGTGGCAATGCACATCAAATGACATATTGGCTGGTCACCAGTTTTTTTTCTGCCAAATTCTGTGCTTTGAAGCGACTCATGAATGGTGGCTGCATGAATCTTACTAAGCAGTCGGCATCGATGAAGACGCATTTCTTGTACTGTTTCAACGTCCAGCAGTGGACTTTGGTGAAAGTGATGCCTAGCTCTGGCCTGGTCAACATGGCAAGATGGGCGGCATCCTGGCTGTCGAAGGGATCCACTTGCTGTATGACGTCATAGATCAACGACAACTGCCTCCTAGAAGGAGAAATAAGAGGGACAGGTGCTGAAAAGGCTGGCCAGCTGCAGTCTAGTTCATAACGACATGTCACTCAAGGGTAAAATCACAAGTCATCACAAGTCCTTCAAATTCATTCAGTCCAATTAAATCACTGGTAAATCACAAGTTAACCCTAACCCTCCAGGGTATGTTTGCTAGAACCCTGCCAAACGCAGCAACATGCAACACTTGACTATGTGACAAGCCTGCCAAATGTAGCAAGATGCATCAGGGAAAAGTCTCAAGGCCACACTGCCTCAGAGTCCGTGGTCACTGCATGCAGCAGGATACAACTGTGGCATTGTTCAATGGGACTTAGCTCTCATTGTTTCAGAGCTGGCCATTCATGCACTGGTGTTGATAGCTGGATGCATCAAAGTGCACCAGTTCTTTTCCACCTGGTGCACTGTGTTGCGTCTGGCAGGGTTAGGGTTAAATTAATGTACAGTACCAGAAATCAGGAGTCAGATCATGGATGTATTAATCAATCACAGGTCATATCACAGGTCAAATCACAGGTCAAATCACAGGTCAAATCATTTTTCTAATCACAAGTCAATCACAAGTCAAGTCACCAGTTAATCACAAGTACATGTAAAGTTATTTTACCAGTTAAGTCACAAGCATGATAAGTCAAGACAAAACAAAATTAGTCAAATCACAAGTCACATAACAAGTCAAAATATTTTTCAAATCACGAGTCAATCACAAGTCAAATCACCAGTTAATCACAAGTAAAGTTATTTTACCAGAAGTCACACGCATGACAAGTCAAGACAAAACAAAATTAGTCAAATTACAAGTCACATAATTAACAAGACCAAAATTATAGCGGGTGGAAATGACAAAGGAAAGCCTTGATCACACCATGGAGAAATAAAACATTTCTCCATGATCACACAATCATTGGACACATTCTTTTTGCCAACTACCTACATATTTTGCTCAGCTTATCGTGCCAAAACTAAGTTTCATTTTGCTGTCATTTTTTTTTAACCAAGCTGTATAAACATTAAAGCTATTAGATCATATTTAATAGAGAATAATACAGTGTGTGTATTTTGTTGTAATGTAAAGCGGAATAAAATTTAAAAAAAAAAAAAAAAAAAAAAAAAAAAAAAAAAAAGCTGTATAAACATTTTATGTACGGTAGCTCAGGAACAGTAATGTTACTGGATACTGCAAACGAAATCATGTCAGAGACGTGACCTAAATGCCACAATGAGGAATTCAGAATATTGTTATCGTTTCAGTAAATGCATTTTCACTTTCCTAAAGGACTATCAGCATTACAAACCAGACCTTATGGTAGAGGATATGGTTTAACAACTGACATCACCTGACAAGGTTAACATTCTCTACGTCATTAATAAATTTACATCTGCTCACCTCATTGGCTGACTGACTTCTTTCGTTACCATGACAACCAGCTGCCTCGTCGTGCCCACATCGCGTAATGACTGTCCGAGGACCAGGGCCCCGTACCCATATGGGTCATTAGTTGTCAAGGTAACAAAGGCTTCATCGTCGACTAAAAACGAAAAACATAAACGAAAGACAGATTTTAAGAAATTTACAACTTAAGAAGTAATGTCAGACTTCTTTTACCATCTCGAAGTTGTAAAAGGTTTATCCTAGGGCTGTGCATCGGAGTATAGAGTACCCAACCGTTGATTTCCGGAACCGTTTCCAGATTTTGGGATCGGGTACCTGTAACCAACTTTGTAATAACTTTACTTCTCAGACAATGAAAAAGAAAGGTTGCGAGTGTCATTTGTCGGGATTTTTCAAAATGAAAGCCATGCTACATGTACATGTAAAAGCAAAACTATATTTCAAGTTTATGATGCTTATGCAAGTTGCAGTTTTCACCATATAATAAGCTATAGAGCTCACTGTATACACTTGTATCTTGCAGCATTGATGCACCGATGTGGCAGTACCGGTGTAGCGTGAATATCCGACTCCATGAAATGTGGACTCATTGGTAGTACTGTGCACGCATGAGTACGATACTATGCTATTTTTAGGATCGTTTCGGGAGAGTGACCTGTCACGTGCGAGGGATCAACCAATAATAGGAAAATAGGGGTCCGATTTTCATAGGAGTCGGATTTTCATGTGACACCAGTATTATCATTTGAACCTTTATGAAAAATCTGAACAGCAACTTCCACGAATTCAGTTAGGGGTTGCGCTTCTTAAGGGGTACCCGGGTACCGTTTTTTTTTCCAATCGGGTACCAGGTTCCCGTACACCCCAGGTTTATCCTCAGAATACATAAATTTGCATAATAATACTAATACGAGGCGTACAAAATGAGCCTCTGGGTTGTCCAACGAAAGACCCCAAAACAACCCTTTGGCTAACACATTGAGGATAGTGCTATTTGATCTGTACATGTAATCCTATGGGGAACGATTAAACCCATTGCATTTCCTGTCCGCCTGATAATCTCAACTGTTTGACATTTGCATCCTGAAACTCCCTACAATTTTTTTTTTGCCAGGATACTTCCTGGTGAATCCTATGAAGTCCAAATCGAACAGATTGGAGGGCCTATAACGTTTCGGATCCTGGCAGGACACATGTCCAACGACTTTATGCATACAATGTACATGTACATCATGTACATGTACATGTCTACTACAGTAATGCTTTGCCTTTCTCACTCCAGCAAAATTTAAGGATTTGGGAGCATTAACCCTTACAACCCCAACCCTTCAAAATCCAACCGCACGTTTAACTTTTGTTGGAATCCAGAGTGAGGCCTTCGCTAATATTATTTTTATTTCTTTATTTATTCAATTCTTATTTTAACTGGGTAGCCCATTCAGCAGAATCCACTGGTCTCCCATGGGGCCGAATAGAGAGAAGACATTGTGAAGAAAGCAGTCTTAGAGGTGGGAGGAAAACCCCAGAAGAATATTCTGGGGCAAACCTACGGAATCAGGCAGGGACAGAAAACCTAATCTACATATTGGCCCACAGCGGTGGAAGGCGAGGAAAGTACTGCTACATGTAAGTACGCCAACCTGACAACCTAGATGATACCACCACAATCAGAGTCCAACAGTTTGGGTGTTGAGTTTACCATATGGTGTTGGATTTTGCAAGAGTGAGGAAGGATCCTAGTAAATCACTCAAGGGGGTCATACTCAGGCAGGGATTAAGCTTGGCCAGTCATACCATATAAGATTATTCGTCGGAGAAGAATTTTCAAAAATTGTGAAAGAAAATAAATATTGGGTTTGCAGATTAATGGCACTACAGGCAGATTAACTGAATATTTTTACACAGTGGAATATCACAACGGTGGTAAAGTAAACTAAATTGGAACACGTTTGCTTGTTGCATGTGGAACGCACATGAACTGGTATTCAAGATTCAACCATACGAGAAGCATGCAGGGCCCCAGGCTATGACATCAATTGGCATTTGCCTGGCTTTGCAGTGAGCACAAGGCCTGCCCTACATGTACAGTTCATCCTGAGTTAAGTAGGGGACATGCATACTACGAATGTCTGGCGACAGACTGAAGAGTTCGGTCATAGCGCCAATACTCCCGCTCTCTCTACATGCGCCACGTGTCTACGTGCATTTTAAAAAGATGTGCCACAAGTCCTGGACGCTTTTAGAAAAATACGCGTATGGTGATTATTCTAGACTGTTGCCTATTACTATTAGGCAAGGTACAAACAAATGAAACAGTTACCTGTCTGGGTTTTTACGAGAAAAAAAAAAGACTGGTTTTTTTTCTTCTTTCCTAAATGGAGGATTTTCCAAGACTGCAAATGGATTCCCAAATTTTCTCGACTATTTTTGCTGATGCAAAATTGTGTCCAAGGGAGCCATAACCCTTTCTACATCTTGCTACAATTTATTAAAAAATTAATGTTGACAAAATATTTACAAAATATGTTGCAGATGTAAATATATATTGCGAATTTTAAAAAAAGGGAGGTGGCAGGGAAAAAGGAAGCGTATGGGGATACGAGAAACTGGTTTATTTTTTTTACATGGCCTACACATTTGACACTGAAAGAAGTAGCTACGCTTGTAAGAGACTTTTTATTTCGCCAGAGTTATCTATTGGCCCGTCTCCATTTCAAAGACTATTAAGCATGTCACTTCTAACTAGCTACAAGATTTTTAACCGATGGCAAAACCAAAGGTTTTTTTTACAAAATGGCTAAAATATCAGCCTGTAAAATCAACATAGACAGGGAAACAGGGATTTTTCCCCCTAGAACATGACAAAAATATATTTATATTTCCATCATTCTGAACAAAGCTACTTGGGGCAAACATTAACAACCTACCGTATTTTATGAAAAGACATCCCCCCCCCAAAAAAAATATTAAGCATTTACCAAAAGGCTGTATAATTTTTTTTTTTTTTCAGAAAATTAATTTAGAAAAAAATGATACACAATGTAAGGCGAGTTACAATCAGTGAATTAGACAATGTATATTTTCCGACCATAGTACATGGTGTACATGTGTCCAAACAAAAATGGATGTGCTCAGACAAATATTGTTCTGTATCATAAAAGTGCATTCCACATTAGCATAAGAATTTGGCAGTCTGCATGTGACAGCTAAATATTGATTGTGCTAGACTGTGACTTCACTTTCTCCAAGCAGTTCTTGTGTCTAAAAATAGTTTCTACTGTACCTCTGAAAATACTACCAGCTATGTGGAATAGTAGAGTCCTCACTGAGATAGCCTGGAGACTAATCAAGCATGTTATTTTTTAAGTAAAGGTTCCAGTAAACGTTCTCCCTTCAGTAAAGGTTCGACCTTAGGATAAATGATAATTTCCAAGGGTATACATGTCCAAAAGCCAGAGATCAGCTATCAATTTTAATCCTCTGCTGTCATTTTTGTGGAGACTTGGCAGGCTGCATGACTGGCCTAAGACCTCATGCGGTCTGTGCTAACCATACCATGCTTAGAAAGATTTCAGCTACCATACGTACGTGTGCTACAAAGAGCAAAGTTCAATTGTTCAGCACTATCGCTGTTGAGTTTTCTAAGAAACAATGTCATGAATGTGCACTGATCAACCTTTTATAATTGTACACATCTGTTTCACATGTGGTAAACTGTACATGTACAATGTGCAATTACATGTACATGTGCCTACATGTACTTTCGCAATAATTTTCAGAAATGAACGGATAAGGGGTTAGTATTTTACAGCATACCGTTACACTGACCTGTTTAAAGTTTTGTGTTCGTAGGTGCTGGAAAAACCTAGAAAAAATGCTGTTTTTGCAGTCTGGTTCCCCGAGTCAGGGAACCAGACAAGCTGCATGGCTTGCACCTGTTCACAGATGTGTAACCGAATGCAAACAAAATGTTGACTAACTAAATTTGGTATAAATTGCATGCTGAATTTGAAAAAAAAAGTCAATTTTTCCAACGATGGTTGGCCAACCATTGTTTCACATGCAGTAAATTATTTTTATTATTTTTTTTGCACACATCCATTTTTTCCTTCAATTTGGCCTCAAAATTCAAAAATGTAAAGGGTCTCACAGTTTGTAGACTTACATGTAAATATGATGTCCATGCAAAGATGAATGATGAACTGAAATGATTGCATTCAGTTTAACTCTTTTTTTTCACGTTCATTAAAATTTTATAATGAAATAAAAATGTAGGTGATCGTCATAACTGGTAACAGATGGGCATGAAAAACTAATAACTCTACATCCTGAAAATTACTGAGATAATGTCGTACAAATGGCACCCAACAATGAACAACATCCTAAATTGTTATCATGTGAAATGGAAATAACCTTGAATTTGTTTGTACTCAGGTAATATGTTCTTTTTAAATTTGACATTTGTCCTAAAAACTCAACAGTAGCCAGCAGAGCTGCCTGAAATTCAGGTTATAGACAATATTGGTAATAAAAAGCCAACTTTCCACCAAAACAACAAGCGTTGCCCATTTGCAGATGTGACCTAGCTCATATAATATTAGAATGAATACATTATATATTTAGGCCTATAATGAATTGAGAGTGCGAAGTTATTAAATTGACGGTGAACACACCACCGTGTGAAATTAATCCCAGTACACAAGAGGTGCCCTAACCCTTAAGGGTGCGAAAATTGTATTTAAATGGAAGGAATCGGGACTGTTATTTGTAAGGGTTTAACAACGTTCTTACTGCAATGCACAAAATGGGAAGCTGAATTAAATATTGCTTGAATATCAGTAAATTTTGAGTTTTATGGTTCATTTATTTTCATTGATTTTTGGCAATAAAACAAGACATTTTTATGAGTATAACTAGACATGCTAGATGGAAGTGAATATTTAGCCGGCTAGTTCAGTTTTTTTTGGTAATTTGGTTTTTTTTAGTCCCACGATTTGACCTTAGTGATATGTACATGTATGTGGCCTACATCAGTACATGTATTTTCGAGTAGTATAATAGGGGCGTAAGTGGTGCCACCAATGCCAAAATAGTCCCCCCCCCCCCCCCCAAAAAAAAAAAAAAAAAAAGAAAGAAAGAAATATAAAAAAAATGAAAATACAATAATCTTCAAAAAAAATTGAAAAAAAGTGCGCCCCCCCCCAACCAAATCCTGGGTGCGCCACTGGGCTACTTTAGCTGGCTTTCTTTCTGTAAACGATATTTAGCCTGCCTGATTGTACGGCCTTAATTTGTGACCAGGCTCGTGTCTACTTCATATATTAACTGTAAGAAATCAAAATTTCAGTACAATTGAAGCTAATGCGGAAACCATTCCTTTGACCATTTGACATCCATTTCCTCATGCATGCACACATGACATGCCCCGCCCACTCTCCACGCGGTACTACCGCGATTTGCATACCACCCGTCTAGACACAATAAAACAAGGCCCATTTTGGTCAAACAACAGGGGCTATATCTCATGCCAGAATGACCCGATTTCCATCTCCGATGGACCGTAAGTTCACCAAAGATAGTCAAAGCTCTCTGTCGAATTTTAAGAGAAAAGATACAGGATAACGTGTCAAAAATCAGCGAAATGTTCGACACTCACCTTTACCAAGGGACGCCATGATGCATGCCACGAATGATTGGAATAACGGCGGCCACACGTACACACGCGCATGCATTAGCTGCATGAAGGGCACCTGCGAAAAATGCGTAGAATCACACAGGAGCATTACGGTAACCAGCGGGTGCCTACGGCGCGTACGTGCGAACTTGATCGGATATGGATAATAAAGGGGCGGGGAATTCAAACAACTGGCCCATTGAAATAATTTCTTTTGTCAATATTTGGGTCATTCTTTTTAAAGCAAAGAAAGGCACGACAGCTGCATTTATCCTAAAGTAAAAGTAACCTACCGAATTATTATCCAAAAGCTATCATGGATCATAGAGTTATAAAACACATATACCTCCAAGCTTGGATCAATTATAGAAAAGGATCCGTGCTCCAGGGATCGGGCTTCTGGCGGCGGAACTGGGGGCGGAGGGCAACGTTTTCCACAGAAGGCCGGGGGTATCCCCCACTCTTGGTCCTTTTAATAGCTCCATGGTGCCACAATAGTATATAGACCGCTTGCAGACGCGTTCGATAATTGACGCGCGAAGGTGTGCGACGCCATGTTGTGGGACAAAATGTGCATGGATAGATATGCGCTTGTCCCACAACATGGCGTCGCGCGCCTTCGCGCGTCGATTATCGAACACGTCTGCAAGCGGTCTATTCTTTGAACAGGGCGCCCCTATTGATGAATGAGCCCCCCCCCCCCCCCCGCCCCGAAAACCTTTTTAATAAACCATAGAATTCTACCTCCATGAATAATACAATGGATGAATGATCTGCGTCTATTCGCCACTCTGAGTGCTCGTTTGTTGTTGGGCCTAATTATCGGAGGATTGGCCACGATGGCAATGGCCGAGAAATCAAGTCATGTAGAAAAAATCACTTTGCCACCTTCTAAAAACTCTGAACAATTTTTTGCAATCTCCAGGCAGTCAACTTAAATTAGCATGGGCGTCGCCAGGATTTTTCTAGAGGGGGGCAAATCGCAAATCCCAATCCCCCCCCCAAAAAAATCCCTATATTTTCCAGCATTTTCCCGATTGAATTTTTTTTCCAGGGTGGGCAGGGACATTGCCCCCCCCCCCCTCCCATTAACATGATTGAGGTTTTTTTGGGGGGGGGCTCCCAGGTATATAGTTTGTTAACCCAGGCCGTAGAGCATGCAAGGAACTGATAGTAGGAACATCGCCCCGTAAACTGTCGGTGTCCCATTCTGGATTTTTAGATGAAAACCTAAAAAAAAAAATCACCAATAAAATAAATAATTACTGCAACCTTTTTGTGTGTGACAAAACAAAACAATAACTTTCTGCCAGCAGGGAATTATTTTTGACATAATATAACAAAGAATATCCGAAATACGGAGGAAACTTTTCTTATCGATGACGTAATTGCGGTTTTGGTGGCGGGAAACACGGGTTACCTCAACAGTTACGGAAGAACCAGACTACGCCGATTAAAAATGCATTACAAACACACGGAGGATTCGTGGTGCAATACCAGACTTATTTTTTAGACGATTTGTCCAGCTGATTTCTAAAAGGTACTTTAAAAATAGTTTTACTGTGAGCTGTGGGACAGTTTTTGTATATTTAATTGATGAGTGATGTTGTTTACTTTTTGTAATGTTTTGGGAATTATTTCATGGGTATTTGTGGTGAGGAAAGACGCTATATGTATTGTAATGTTTTCTGGTTGGATATTTTTCGAGGCGAACTTTTCAAGATCGTTGATCATTGTTGTACTACAGTCCTGTGTACTCCTAGAACTATGAGGCTCCACGTAGTGGAGCCTCATAGGTTCAGAACCCCGCAAAATTGTTGTCAGCACAAAACACTAATTAAGTACAAAAACGTCCATCCCAACGAAGCCGTTTCCCACAGAACCGCTGCACAGTTTGCCCCTAAACTCCGTACAATACCTCATGACATACTCACGCTATGTGCACCCAACAAACATCGGTGGATTCTGTCGGTTTTTTGCAAAAATGATGGAAAATATGCCCTTTCCGCACTGAGCCAACCTAACACTTGAAATTTGCACGCGCGCAGAATGATCGCAGTCATTTTCGGTCCGATCGCTCGGAGCGCGCCGCGGGGGGTATGGTGTAGGAGCAGAACAATAGTATGCGCATGCGTACAAGTGCGAGTACGTACCCCCCGCGGCGCGCTCCGAGCTATCGAACCCGAAAATGACTGCGATACGGAAGCTTGAATTGCCTTCCGCGATACCGCGTTACCGCGATAATTTATCGCAGAAATCCGGAAATCAAAGATAATTCCTTCCGCGATACCGCGTTACTGCGATAATTTATCACAGAAATCCAGAAATCAAAGATAAATCATTCAACGATACCGCGTTACTGCGATAATTTATCACAGAAATCCAGAAATCAGAGATAATTCCTTCCGCGATACCGCGTTACCGTGATAATTTATCACAGAAATTCAGAAATCAGAGATACAGTACCGCCCAGAATTTACCATTCCCAAATGCCCACACCAAAGTCCCTTTGCCCGCTGTTTGCGATCATGGTCCCGCATGCCCTTTGCCCAATCCCCCTTCCTTAGAATTCGGTCATTAATAGAGGGCATCGTGTAAACCACAGACAATAATCCCCGAGCATACAGCAAAAGGGCATCGTGTAAACCACAGACAATAATCCCTAGCAGTCAACAAACTACCTTCTGAAACGGGCAACGTGTAAACCGCGCCATAACAAAACAAGAGGCCTGGAAGCCGACGTCGGGAAATTCACCCATACACACACGACGTACACAAAAAGCAGACAGAAAACGAAGAGCCGAAAAAAAAAACATAAAAAGAAATAATGCGGTCGGGCGAGAGGAGTAAAACTTTTTAATATTTTTGGGGGGACTGCATGCTCAACATAAAAAGAAATAATGCGGTCGGGTGAGAGGAGTAAAACTTTTTAATATTTTTGGGGGGACTGCATGCTCAACATAAAAAGAAATAATGCGATCGGGCGAGAGGAGTAAAACTTTTTAATATTTTTTTGGGGACTGCATGCTCAACATAAAAAGAAATAATGCGGTCGGGCGAGAGGAGTAAAACTTTTTAATATTTTTGGGGGACTACATGCTCAACATAAAAAGAAATAATGCGGTCGGGCGAGAGGAGTAAAACTTTTAAATATTTTTGGGGGGACTGCATGCTCAACATAAAAAGAAATAATGCGGTCGGGCGAGAGGAGTAAAACTTTTTAATATTTTTGGGGGGACTGCATGCTCAACATAAAAAGAAATAATGCGGTCGGGCGAGAGGAGTAAAACTTTTAAATATTTTTTGGGGGACTGCATGCTCAACATAAAAAGAAATAATGCGATCGGGCGAGAGGAGTAAAACTTGATCATATTTTTGGGGGACTGCATGCTCAATATAAAAAGAAATAATGCGGTCGGGCTAGAGGAGTAAAACTTTTTAATATTTTTGGGGGGACTGCATGCTCAACATAAAAAGAAATAATGCGGTCGGGCGAGAGGAGTAAAACTTGTTAATATTTTTGGGGGGACTGCATGCTCAACATAAAAAGAAATAATGCGGTCGGGCGAGAGGAGTAAAACTTGTTAATATTTTTGGGGGGACTGCATGCTCAACATAAAAAGAAATAATGCGGTCGGGCGAGAGGAGTAAAACTTTTGAATATTTTTGGGGGTACTGCATGCTCAACATAAAAAGAAATAATGCTGTCGGGCGAGAGGAATAATGCGGTCGGGATAGAGGAGTACAACTTGTTAATATTCTTGTGGGACTAGACTGGATGCTCGATATAAAAAGAAATAATGCAGTCGGGCGAATGGAGTAAAACTTGTTAATATGTTTTGGGGGACTGGATGCTTGAAATAAAAATAATTAATGCGCTCGGGCGAGAGGAGTAAAACTTGTTAATATTTTGGGGGACTGCATTCTCAATATAAAAATAAATCATGCGGTCAGGCAAGAGGAGTAAAACTTGTTAATATTTTTTTTGGGGGGGGGGGGGACTAGACTGGATGCTCAATATAAAAAGACGTAATGCGGGACGATCGTGCGAGAGGAGTAAACCTTGTTCATATTGCGACACGGCTACTGACTGAGAAGTTTGCCAAATCAACGCAAACTTCAGGACCACGAGGTACGTCGACCCGCGGGCAACTAGTGCAGTGCGGCATTGTTGAAACTAGACTCCGTGTTGGTCTGATCATGGTCTGATGGATAATATTACGGCAGTCCCAGGCATCACAGGGGAGCCTCCTAGCAACAGTATTTCTAAGCAACCAGGTTGGAATGTGATGGGCATGCAGCCATGCACCTGTGGCTCAGACGGTCAGTGCTGAAAGCAACCAATGGCATATTTATTTGCCGGGAACCGGCTCATTTCATTGGCTGAGATACCATCATCACTGTTTATCATCTAAGAATCTTCCAATTGCTGGCGGCAAGTTCTCAAAGGCCTTAAAGTTCGGTGGCCTACTTCTGAACCCAAATGTATATGCTTTGTAACAACTAGAGTGGCATTGTATCAATTTGAACAATGCGGCTATCAATCATTCTCTGGAAAGGCTTTCCGGAGCTGAGATTTTATTTGGGCATTTTTTTTCTCAGAGACAGGGGAAAACTTCATGCGAAAAATGTGGGAAACTGAATTTACGTGAAATTTCACCTCCGTGTTGTGTACATGCACATAGATAAACGATTGGGGGATGATATTCCAAGTCCAAATAATTCATTAAATGTAGGGCTCCCGATGTCTTTTTTTCGTAGTACGATTTTATTCTTCGCTTATTTAAAAATAAAACTGCATGGCCTACATTATTTTTGTAAATGTTACTCTAGAATATAATTATTTCGGAATACATTTTGAAATTAAGTTTGAAGTCAAAGCGCTGTTGATAATCTTGTTCGTATACCTTTTAAAATTAGGAAAAACTAAGCATAATTCGTATTAAAATTTCCCCTGGAATCTACAAAAGAATTAACTGAGAGTTCAGAACTTAATGGGCTAGGGTGTTTGAAATCGTTTTACTTTAAAAAATAAACCGAGAGAATAAGATATACTAAATCGTATTAAAATAACCCCTATTTATATGATGTCTCTCTCTATCCGCGGCCGGGAAAATATTAAAGGGAGGACGATTAATTCTTCGTGTATTTCAAAAATAAAAAGCATGACCTACATTATTTTGTAAAAATGATTTACTATAGAATATATTTTGGAATATATTTTGACGTTATTGTTTGAGGGATGTTGTTAATCCTGATCATATTCATTTAAAATAAGAAAAAACGAGCATAATTCGTATTAAATTTCCCCTGGAATCTACAAAAGAATTAACTTAGAGTGCAAACTTTAACGGGCTAGGTTTTTTTTTAAATCATTTTGCTTTAAAAAAAATATTTTAGACGTAAATCTCTCCAGACGTAAATCTCTCTCTGAGGCCGGGAAAATAAAAAAAAAGGGGGATGACGATTTTATTCTTCATATATTAAAAACAAAACATGGCCTACATTATTTCGTGTACCGGTACATGTTCTACTCTAGAACATATTTTGGAATATATTTTGACATGAAGCATTAAATGCAAGTGCTGTATTAAATGTGCCCCCTATTCCAGCCGGGAAATAGAAAAGTGTCTTATAAAAATATATTCTTGCTTTGAAAGTATTCTTGCTTTGAAGGAAATTTTGAGACAATGATTGACAGGCGACCTTCAAAACTTATACACTGTATATTTTTGTTGATAATTATGTATGATAGTTATGTTCAAAGCGATTGATTTGATGACCGCCCGTCCGCCCGCCATAATGACTCCTCCAAAACGAAAAAGATAGCCATGTTCTCAAAGGGATGTATTTAATGCCCGCCCGCCCTAAGACGACTCGTAGGGAAAAAACAGTTGCGAAAGGGGGGCTGCACGGGCCGGGTGTGCCCCCATCTGGATCCGCGCGTGTGATGACGATCCTTACGAGTAATATAAACACAAAACAAATTTCACAATAGAGATCGCTTTTGTGAACAGAACTGCGCAAAGAGTTTACTTGTAAAACTTGTGTACTTGTTAACTATAAAAAGGAGGGATATTCCTTTTGACCAGATTTTCACACCCCTTTCTCAAGAGTGGAAGAAGAGCACGGGCCATGCAGGGCTCACCGTTCAATCATAGAGCTGTGTTTTATTTCAATTCAGTGCGGGCATCGTGTTCTATGTGTCCCGAAGAAATGTGTCGCGGGCATTGTGTTTGTGTACCTGATCATTTCACAAGCATGCCGACGTGCGGGCATCGGGGCTTGTGGTTTAGGAGAGTGTGGGCATGGGGGCTTGTGGTTTAGGAGAGTGTGGGCATGGGGGCTTGTGGTTAGGAATTCTAAGAAAGGGTTCGGGACCCCCAATGCCCGGCAACCAATAGGTCCCGATAAACGGGCATTGTGCCATGGTAAATTCTGGGCGGTACTGTACGTATTCCTCGATACCGCGTTACTGTGATAATTTATCACAGAAATCCTGAATTCAAAGATACGTATTCCTCGATACCGCGTTACCGTGATAATTTATCTCAGAAATCCTGAATTCAGAGATAATTCCTTCCTTGATACCGCGTTACCGCGATACCTTATCACAGAAATCCGGAATTCAAAGATAATTCTTAAGTTCCGCGGTACCGCGTTACTGCGATAATTTATCACAGAAATCCGGAATTCAAAGATAATTCCTTCCTTGATACCGCGTTACCGCGATAATCATCACAGAAATCCGGAATTCAAAGACAAATCTACGCGGTATCGCGGAAGGATTTATCTTTGAATTCCTGATTTCTGCGATAAATTATCGCGGTAACGCGGTATCGCGGAAGGCAATTCAAGCTTCCGTACTGCGATCATTCTGCGCGCGTGCAAATTTCAAGTGTCAGGTTGGCTCAGTGCGGAAAAGGCATATTTTTCATCATTTTGCCGAAAAACCGACAGAATCCACCGATGTTTGTTGGGTGCACATAACGTGAGTATGTCATGAGGTATTGTACGGAGTTTAGGGGCAAACTGTGCAGCGGTTCTGTGGGAAACAGCTTGGTTGGGATGGACGTTTTTGTACTTAATTAGTGTTTTGTGCCGACAACAATTTTGCGGGGTTCTGAACCTATGAGGCTCCACTACGTGGAGCCTCATAGTTCTAGGAGTAAGTCCTTTGTACATGGTGTATAGCCTAGCTAGTGTGCGGTGGTACGTACGTACGTAGGGGGGGGGGGGGGGGGTCTTGTGGAACTTCCGGTCATTGTTATGTTCAACCTCAAACAGTTTGCCAGTAATTCTGTAATTTTACCTTTTTATCGTCCTTTCAGAATTTGTTTATGCAGCACTGATATCTGATTAAACTTGCAACGTGATGAGCATGATGAAATTGAAAAACAATTTTGCCTTGACTTGCAAGTTGCATGACTTGAGCTAGCCCCATAAATGTGGCCTATTTACTGGACTGCCTCCGTAAACATAGGCCACACATCCACATGTAGCCTACAAAAACGTGTTGACTTTGCCAAATTTTGATTTTCACATTTAGGCTTACGTTGTAGGGTTTTTTTGCTTTAGAAGCATACTCACCCTCTTATAGGCTAATCAGAAAGTGCTGCCTTTTTCAGATGTATATTTTTCGTGAATTTTCCAGATTCATTTTTACACGTTTGCGTATCAAAATTTCAACATGAAATTTCACAAAAATTAGACATCTGAAAAAGGCAGCACTTTCTGACTAGCCTATAAAGAGGGTGAGTATGCTTCTAAAGCAAAAAAATCCTACAAACTAAGCCTAAATCTGAAAATCAAAATTTGGCAAAGTCGACACGTTTTTGTACATGTGGATGTGTGGCCTATGTTTACGGAGGCAGTCCAGTAAATAGGCCACATTTATGGGGCTAGACTTGAGCATGTTGAGGGGAAGTTGAATGACTTGTTTATCATTGTTGGCAAATTTAACCTTTTATTTAAGGCAGTGTATATTTTGCCAGAGGCGGCAAAACTTCAGTAAACGTTAGTTTGCCGGATATGCACTGAACATGCGCAGTTACTGTTTTTTTGTACTTACACATTTTCCGGTGACAAGTTTTAGTCTGGCTCCATGCCAAAATTATCGTTGTTACCTCGTATTCACAAGATGGGATTCAGACCATTTTATAATTTCGGACTTTATTTCCCTTTTAAAAAAAATCCTCCAGAGCCACAAATCTGAAAAAGAAAATGTAATACTCTGCAAAAAATGTTTGAGACATGTTAAAATAATAAAAGAAGAATATTCTTATTTATTTGGGGATGAGAAAAAAAAACTTAAAAATGTGGTGCGGTCGGATTCGAACGCGAGTCATCCCGCTTACTAGAGCCTTTGCTTAACCATTACACCAAACGTGCTACACAACTTTTGGTGGGAATTTAATACATCTTATAATTCAGCCCTATTTTAAAGAGTACAGCGCCCTCTGTTGATATGGATTGCCGCCAGCAAACCGTTAGTAATCGTTAGTTTGCCGTCATTACCTCCGGCAAAATATCCACTATCTTAAAATTTTACATAAAAATTTTATGTAAAATAGTGTCGTGCTTTAAAGTTTCACATCAACTTCAAGACACGATTGTCTTGAAGCTCAAGTTGATAGGAAATTGAATATTTATGAGTCTTTCGAATTTGAAAATTGCACTACTAAATATGTTTTATGTCAATGAACAAGGGGGAAAAAAAATTGTCATTAATTTGATAGGGCCTTTTCATTTTGATTGTCTACCATTTTTATTTGCCGTTACAATTACAGTGACTTACAGAGAACAAAATATCATATTTTCACAGCTCAGGATCAAGTATGGAACAGCACGAAGTATTTTCAACGATTGTCCAGAGTAAGAACGTCCCAAACAACATTGCCCAGACAGCCCAGCAACTCCTCCAGACGTGGGGCTGTCGACGTAACACCGAGACAGAAGTTGACTTAGCTTCCTACGCTGTGTGCGCACTGTTCACTGCCAGCGTCATACACAGGTCCGAATCCTAGACACTCTTATTACTGACCAACATATAATGTTCATTTTGGGTCTCAATTGTTTTGGATACAAAGTTTTTGTAAAGGTTTTTAAAACTTTTGGGGGTGGTGGGGGGGGGGGGGGAGAAGGAGGGATTCATTGATTTGTCTTTGGAAGTTTTATTAATCAAAATATACATTATTTTTGTTTGATACAGGAATGAGAAAAGTCAAGAGAGCAGTCAAGTTGTTGGAATTCCAACGTTGTCTGACCTTTTAGACACTGGCAATGTACAGTAAGTATGAGAACTCATTCCCCAAATAAATCTTCTCACCAAAATGGAGAATCCTGTGCTTAAATATACAACATGGATGATTTGTTACATCTGTTTTTCTTTGACTTTTTAGTATCAAGCGTTTCTTTGAGCGGATGGGGAGGTTGCAATCGGATCATTCCTTTCATCAGTCCGTCAAGCCTGCGCTGAAGGCAACCATGCAGAAATACTGTGTAACAAGTGCCCTCTACCACAAGTTCCAACAGTGAGTTGAACAATATTTGGTTTTTTTCTCTCTCTCACGGATGTCCTTTCAATATTTAAACAAGTGGTGGGATTTAAAATCTGGATTTTTAAAAATTCGGTTTGAATTCCACTATTCGGTTTAGATTTTGGAGATCGGATATTCAAAATCGAAACCAACCTGAAAATATTATTCCCATCTTTTTGAGACTCGGACGCAAGCTGCAGAAAACCACTGGAACACTCCCCAATTTGCTCCGTAGTCTCTGGTTGTAACTGCATTCACTCACTAGCGGTCTTCTCGGTAGTGGGCTCATTTGTCTGATCAGAGAGTTCCACACATTTTGTCGACATTACAGCTCTGAAGTGTTTTCGTAAAGGCCCAGTGGTCATTCAATGAATCCATAACTGGTGAATCGGATAACTGTTATTCAGTTTTGAAAAAATGAGGATAACCGGATTTTGAAATCTCTGATTTTTCCCACCACTACTATTCAAAGTCCATATAACTTGTTGTGTTGGAACACTATCAAAGTCAAATGCTATATTTTCTAGGATAACATTGTTTATAAAGACTGTGTTGTATTCCTTTGTCTTTGTGTAGACTCATGAAACGAATCTTCATACAAGACCCAGACAGCCCACTGGCCTCAGAGGTCGCAAGTTCAGAGGTCAATCAGGGTCAACCCAATAGGAAACACATCTGCTGGACATTGTTCCTACTTGCCAAAGGTACGACTGGTCATTTAGTTAGGCTTTTCTGAAATTAGCATAATTTTTTTTTTCTGTCATTATTTTCATTCTCTGATAGTATTCTAAACAGGGGCAAGGTCTAAACTAAATTGCAGGATTCTCTGGGAATTTTTTTTTTTGAGATGATATTGGCCCATATACTTGTTTTCATCAAATTTCATCAAATTTTCATCAAATGTTAAAGGGGTACATCGTCCAGAAATCGCCAAAATATTTATGTTTAAGATTGTTTACTTACATACGTTCTATTTCAAAGTTCTGGTTCAAAGGAAACTAACCTAATGTCACACTGTTCCTGAGAGAAGACGAAAAAACTTGGTTGCTTACTCCTGATGGCAAATTCTTAAAGGATGGTTGTGTGAAGGTTTTAAACGATCTTTCCAATTAATATTTCATTTAAAACTGTAGCCCAATTGGGTACTTTCCAGGATATAGTGTCCCTTTAAAGCCAGTTTGCATCTTCTCATTAAGAACAAAGCCTACTTTTGCAAATGTCGAGGCAGAAAGTTTTCCATAGGACCCCACGTAAGTCACAAACAAGAAAAATATTCTTCTAGTTCTGCAAAACACCTTCTCATGTGTTGTCGTTAATGACATTTGGTTTTCGTCGTCGTTTTCCATTTGTTTCATCGTCCAGGAAGCTTACAGCAAGCTGCCAATGAGTTGGTCATGACGCTTCACCTGCTGATCTGCTGCATTGAGTACACCGTGAAGCTCTCCCCTGCATTTCTGCTCCAAGAACCGTTCAGTAAGGCTATCCTTGCCTTTGTAATGAGTGAATGTTGACAAAAACGCGTGATGAAAAACTAACAAATTAGTCTGGATTTTGTGTTTCGGTACAGCTACAGCCTACGTTGGGAATTCAGAAGGACTTGGGAATATTTAGACACGTATACATGTATCCCTAGTTTCTGCCCCATTCAAAAATATATGGATACAGCTATCTACAGGACCATTTCGTTGTATTTAGGGAGAGATTAAGTTACGGTGCGGATGTTTTGCCCTCTTTGGGGCTGGAGAATTAAGGGGGGAGGAGGTTGGAATTGAAGTGCAAACATGGATGAGGACAATTTACTGTTCAATTCAATTCAAAATTTCACGTTTTATTTACTTACTTTTATTAAAAATACAACAGCATTTGTGAAAGGGAAACCGCAATAAATTGTATACAAACTCTGATACATTGCCACAATATCTATGCGGACGGACTCTGAAGTTTCTATCTCCTGCTGCGTGTACAGATTCAGCCCACTATTCCCAAGAGACAGAGGACGCCATCTTGCAAGCGCTCTGTGAGGAGATGGGTTGCCGTGACGACATGGCCGATGTAGTCTCGGTCGGTGAGGCGTGTCTTGTGCCTATTCTGAGCGCTATTCCCAGAGAGAGGCTCAACCAGGGTCTAGAAGGCTTGCCGGAGGTAAGACCAGCTACATTTTTAGCAAATACGCCATATTTTTAAGCGAATGATGGCACTTTAATGGGAATATACAACATTTGCTTTTGCTGTAATTTTCAGAAATGCATGGATTTGGGACTTCAGTATTTTATAGCAAATATTGTTACACGGACTTGTTTGACGTTTTGTGTTCGTAGTTGCTGGAAAAATCCCAAAAAACCCAACATTTTGATCTTGTAGTCTGGTTCCCTGACCCCACTTAAGATGAAACGGAGCAATTTGTAGGCGTCGGGGAATTCTAAGGTCAGGGAACCAGTCTAGCTGGCTTGTACCCGTTCATAGGTGTGTGATCGATTGCAAACAAAATGCGGACTAACTAAATATGGTAAATTGGGGGCAGTATTTAAAAAAAAAGCCAGTTTTTTTCCAACGCTGTTTGGCCAACCAGCGTTGGAAATCAATACAAAAATACCACTTTTTTGAAAATGACCGCACACCATGTGCCATTATTTCACAGGATGCTTGAGACTGTCATTCACTAACGGTCCAGTGTGGTATTTCGTGATAATTTGCTAGTTTTGTTTTTTGATGTTTGCAAATGTTTTATATTCCCTTTAACTAAGAAGCCATCAAATTTGTTTCTGATCATTTCCACGAGCCTAAAAAGAGTACATGTACTCTTTCTTCTAAAACACCCCCCCCCCCTTCCTAGTGAGTACAAACTGAAAAGGAAAAAAAATGACGATTTTTTTTGCTCATCATGGAGGTTGGTATCATCATTATTAATGACTTTTAAAAAGCATACATGCCCCCCTAACCCCCCCCCCCCAGGCGTACAGTTTGTATGCTCGTGAAAATGATGAAAATAATTCGTGGCCACTGAGCTGTTTTTTGTTAAGGATAAACACAGGCATGAATCAAAAGATATTGATAAAATTTAAACATTGCTTTTTAACTAGCTAAGCAGCTAAAGTAATTAGCTGTTCCTAATTCTAATTGGAAAAACTTTTGTTTTCCATAAGATTTGTTTTTTACTCTTTTTTTCACAATTTCCCATAGCTTTTTTACACCTTTTCCTTTACACCTTTTCATTGTACAAGCCATTTTGAGATTGATTTTTGTTTTTAAATTCGATCAACTACTTTGTGTAGTGATTGACCATCATCTGATGTGATCGTGTCGTCATCAGGGGTCACATGACATCAATTTAAAGGTTCAATATTTACATACAAATGTAACTATAAAACTGTGAGACCAATTGACATCAAACTGTGTAGCTACATACAGGCAATCAAACACATTTTTGGAACAGCTTTGTGGTTGTTCAGTAACAACCACGATCTCTTGTTGTGTCCGTGATTGTTAACATTACACTTGTGTCCAAATGCACGTTAGTTGGTTTTACACCGAATAATTCGTTTAAAAGATCGGTAATACGACAACAGGAGCGTTTTACTGGCTTGATGGAATTCGGTATTTCTGAGGTAATAGATGAACACGTTCAGCCAGCTGTGGATCAGTATGGGCAGGCCCAGCAGAAAGAAGCGCAACAAATGGTGTTTATTGTTAACATCAAGTATCAGACTGATGGCGGGAATCAGGGAAAGCGCAAGCGCGCTGATGACGATGATTAGCATGGTGTGAAGCGTCTTTTTGTTGGGTCTCACTGGAGCGTGTCCACCGTGAGCACTTGGATTGTCCGCGTGGATACGTCGTGCATGACGGCGCGTGATACTGAACAGTCTGGCATATGCGATCAGGACGGTAAGCAGACAGAAGATCGTTATTGTTGAATACACTACTGAAAAGTAAAAATCTAATATAGATCCATCGCGGTAAAAGGCACACATGAGCAGGCTGCTGAGATACACCGGTTGCCAGTGTGAAATAACACATGTCACAGAGACCATCACGACGATTATACCCCACGCGCAACAGACGGCGATACGTGCTCGCTTCAGCGTTACGAGAGAATGGTAGCGGAGCGCATACACAACTGAGATGTAACGATCCACAGTTAGCAGAAATAGTGACAGGAGAGTTCCCAGGACAGAACTGACGGAGGCAAAAGCTTGGATCCCGCAAAGTACGATCCCAAAAGGCCAGTAACCGATTGCCGCGCCAAAACTCATCGGTACGGCCAAAAAAATACCTACTCCTAGATCGGCAACCGTCATGGACCGCAAAAACACTTTGGTGGTGTCATGGATGCTGTCCACATGCCTCAGAACAAGAAGACAGAGTGAGTTCAGTGTCAGGAGAAGGAACGAAGACGGGACAAGGATAAATATGTATAAACGTGTAGTATGGTAGGGGATACCTGAATTATCTGTGGATGGCGTAAGGGACACATTGTCAGCAGACACAGTGGAGTTTTCCACATCCATCGGTGATCCAGTTGAATTCAAGTTGTCCATCTTTGAAGCAAAGAGTTGACACAGTTCAACATGAATTAAGTCAGAATTTGAGTATCTAGTCTCCAAATTTTGTTTTGATTTAAAACAGACCATCCAGATTGCCAAGGTTTTATCCTTTTACGTAAATTTTCCCCCAAAAATGGAGTGTCTAAAATGATGGACAGGTTTTTCAGACAAACGTTGCTTCCAACTCCATTGTGAAGAAGAGACTGTAGTTTACTTGTTGGCAGAGTTCTCCGTCTTCAAACATTTTAAACTGTAAAATTTGTTCCGAGATTCCACCGAAGTTATCATTCAAGATTATCCTGGAGCGTTGACCAAATTTGTGCGCGTCTCCACTCATATCCTCTACCGATGTCACTGTGAGAAAAAAATCAAATTGGGTGCGGCTTTTTCCTTGCAAGCTGATGACGCATCTTTGCAGAAATTATTAAAATTAGTACCAAGTCTTGTGATTGGCCATTCGTGGAAATGCGGAGAAAACGTGTCCCCATTGGCCAGTTGTCACTCCAGCCTCGAACCAAGGGTGATGGAGTCAGCGTGCCAAATTGATGGAGAGGCTGAGTTTGAATACGTAGCAGGCCTCTTTGTCGTGTTTGTCTGGTCATCCATTTATCAATCTCACCAGGACTTGATTGAATTATTTCTGCCCTTTCGTCGGCCGATAGGGGAACAAAATGGGGCTTGTCACTTAGTTGGCAATACATTGTAAATAATGGTCCTGTGGTACATGTACGTGCACTCTGTGCTGTTTACTGTTATCTCTTCTATCCATCACTAATACAAGGTTTATAATTTATGTTCTGGGCTGATGATGTCAGTGAAAATAAAATTGCAATTACTTAATCAATTTTAATGAACAGCACCAATACAAACATGTACCTGTGCAGGTTGTGCATGCCTTTTGTTACAAGATCGGACAAGGTTATCATCTATCAAATAAAAAAGTAGTTGCAGTAAGAAACAGCGCAGTTCTGATTAAGGTCAAAAAAAAAAGTCTCCGGTTTCTGGTATGGAGCTTGCCCCAAAAGTGGTGTGGCGACGCGGCTTTTTTTTTTTTTTACCTGTTTTTTTTTTTTTTTTTTTGGCTTCAAATGTCGGCTGATGACTGCAAATGGTGCCCGACTAAACTTAGTGCAAATATATATATGGGAGTCCAGAGAGGCCACATAAATCTTATTCTCGATCATAACCCCATCTAGAAACACGTTAAAATTTTGCAGCAGCAGAATTCCAGTCAAACCAGTGAGTTTGGCGGTTTTGAAACATCATCTTGTATTGAAAAAAAAACTTTTTCATTTTGCCGACGCGCATGGCTACGGCGACGCGCGCGCATACCAGAAACCGGAGACTTTTTTTTTTGGCCTAATAAATTTAGAGTAATTTTTTTTTAGGCCAAACAAAATTAAAATAGTTGGTCTCTGGTCAGACCAAAGTTCCGGAATTGATGCGGCTATGCCTTTTTTTGTTTTTTTTTGTGTTTTTTTTTTCAAGCTTGGATTGTATAGACAAGTTGGGTACTGTTTTGCTTTTTTGTGTCCTCATAATTATAGGCCTACATTGGTGTCCTCCATCGTTTGCCTTTGTGCAATTTCCCCATTCCTTGGTGCACCTTGGTACGAACATTTGAGGTGGTGCTGCAATAGAGGGCGTTGTAGCTACCGCCGAAAATTTGAAGGACAAAAAAAAGATTGATGTGCATGATCAAAATCGACGCGCACGCTGACCAGAGACCTTTTTTTCTGTTGGCCTTAGTGCAAGGCCAACTAGCTTTTACTAAAAATCGTGACTTGCACTTGTTCCCACTAAGTGATAGCGAATTAATGAAAGCACAACATCGATTTTGAGATTTTAACATCATAAAGTGCGGCAGAATATGAACTGTCCTATGATTTACAGCTCTGATGATGTAAAGTTGACATAACTTTATGAAAAAGTTACAATTGCTTTTACAATTTTAAATAGCTTGAAGAAAAGTTTCGATATGGCTTCAATAAACGTGACATTACTACTACATGTACTAGTGTATACTCAGAAAAAGACATTGTTACAGTGGTCTCATTTTAACTGAAAAATATGTTACATAAAACACAGAAACTTTCAACAAAATGAATTTGCACTGTAAGTCACATAGAGTGCCTGTATACAAATTTTTAAATGTCAAATACACATGTACATGTATGTATTATGCAAAAACCTGCAGTCCACTTGTATTTTTACCCAGGCTGAGCATTTTAAACGAAACATTAATTTTCAAAGATTGTAGCCACTCCATATATGCATCAGTTTCTTAAGAGTTGGTTAATGGTACAGTGTCCCTTTTAGGGTTAGTAATTTGGCTGTGATAATTACCGCTGGGCGAGTAACTTTATTACTCGAGCACTCGGGAGTAGTTTATGCTACTCATTGTTGTACTCATAGTTTTTCATCTACTCGAGTACTCATCCTGGCGTGAGTAGAAGTAGGTACTCACGAGTAGTAATTTAGAGTTGAGGGATCACGGCTTAATACGTCCCCTGCAAACAGGGAATCACTCTCTCCACCTCTCTCTCCCTAGGATTCCATTCGTCCAAAAAATAAAGTTTAAGTACATGTACATGTACATGTACATGTAACTGACCCAAAATGTTGAAAAATGTGGTGTGACTTTATTAGTTATAATTTACATCACGTCATACTAACGTATTTATGTCATTTTTCTGCTGTTATGGGAATTTGGTTAACTACTGGAGAGTACTCAACCACTCGCGAGTAATTTCTTTTCGAGTTCTCGAGTAGAAAAATCCACTCCTCGCCCAGGCCTAGTGATATCATTTTTCATTTTTAAAATAAGATTTTGACGAGCCCAAATGTATGTTAGTTGATTCTACAAATAACCCTTTTGAAAGATCGGTAGTACGACAACAGAAGGGCTTTACTCGCTTCACGAAACTCTGTATTTCTGAGGTAATAGATGAGGACATTCACCCAGCTGTTGATCAGTATGGGCAGGCTCAGCAGAAAGAAGCCCAGAAAATTTTGTTTGTAGACAGCGTAAATAATTATACTGACGACGGGAATTAGCGAGAGTAGCAGCGCACTGATGACGATGATGAGCATGGTGTGAAGCGTCTTGTTGTTGGGTCTGACCGGAGCATTTCCGTCGTGAGCGATCTGATTGTCGGCGTGGATACGTCGTGCATGACGGCGCGTGATACTGAACAGCTTGGCGTAAGCCATCAGGACTGTTAGGAGGCAGGACAGCGTTATCGTTGAATACAGTACTGGAAAAAAGATTGCAAATGTCGATCCTTTGGTGGTGAAGGAACACATGAGCATTCTCTTGAGATACTTCGGTTGCCATTTTGTCATGATACCAGATACGCACCCCATCACAACGATTATACCCCATGCGCAACAGACGGCGGTACGCGCTCGCTTCAGCGTTACGAGAGAATGGTAGCGGAGCGCGTACACAACTGAGATGTAACGATCCGCAGTGAGCAGCAGTAGTGACAGGAGAGAACCCAGAATGGCACTGATGGATGTAAAGGCTTGGACCCCGCAAAGTACGATCCCAAAAGGCCAGTGACCGATAGCCACGCTAATAGTCATCGGTATGGCCATGAAAATACCTATGCCTAGATCGGCAACGGTCATGGAACGCAAAAACACTTTGGTGGTGTCATGGATGCTGTTCATGTGCCTCAGAATGAGCAGGCAGATTGAGTTCAGCGTTAGGAGAAGGAATGACGACAGGACCAAGATAAATAAATATACAGAACTGGGGACGATAAATACATTGTCTTTTGGTGGCGTAGAGGCTGCATCGTGAGGAGACACAGTGTAGTTATCCATGTCCGTCTGTGGTTGAGTAGAATTCATGGTGTTTGTGTTTGAAGCCAAAAGTTGACACCGTTCAATGGAGTTAAGTGAGCAGTTGAATAGCAAGTCTCCAAATTTTGTTTTGGTTTGAAACAAAGGGCGTTCAGATTACCAAATGTTGATCTTTTTTCCCAAAATGGAGTGTCAAAAATCGCAGACAGGTTGTTCAGACAAAGCTTGCAGCTCGTAACTTCCAAGTGTGTTGTGAAAAACAGAGACTGTAGATTCTTTGTAGAAGGACGGAGCAGGCTTTCGTTGCCAGACACTGTGCCAAACTACAAAACATTTCCGAGATTTCACATCTGACTTTATATCCTCTGCTGATGGAAACATTTTATCGGATGCGGCTTTTTTTTCTCTCTCAAAACGATGACGCAGCTTCGCATAGATTATTTCCCAGTTTTGTGATTGGCCGTTCATGGGCAAAGCCACAGAAACGTCCATCCTCATTGGTCAGTATTTTCCCAAGCCTTGTAACTTTTATTGACCTAAGAAAAAGAGCGCGCTACATTAAGTTGGATCTGAGTGTAATAAGAAATTCTTCTGCTTCGTCACACCCTATTGATTGCCAAGATTTATAATTGAATTATTCCCCGCCTTTCATATTATGTTTTCAGCCTCACTTAATCACTATGGCAACCTCCTTCTATACATGCACATTGCACACTGTACTGTTGCCTTTTATTGTCATATTATATTAGACTAAATTGAAACTTTATTATCCTTCACAAGGGAAATAAAAATGGCCTTGACAAAGAACGGGAAATAAAACTCAATCAGTAATTAAAAAGATTTAAAATTCAATAGTCTTTCGTTGTCAGACACCGTGACAAATCTAATTTTTTTTTTTTCATCACTGCCGGCAAGAGTTTTAATTTTGTTTTTTTTCTGGGAGCCCTGCTTACATTACTGAATCTATCAGGGAATTATTTCATCCAGTTCGATTCGTACATCTCCAGTCTCACCGAAACAAACAAGTATCTGTGGCACGTTCTTGATCACATGACAGAAAGAACTTGCCATCGTTCCATTTTATACAAATAAGAAGTCAAGTCTAGTGCAGCTACGATTTTCTCAATATCTAGTGGTTGTTTTTTTTAGTGCCTGGCCATCTATCGGAGCACTGTGGTCTAATGGTTACGGTGTTCTACTCACATGCCGTGGTAAATGGGTTACCATATAAATCTCGGTCAAATATTGTCGCTTCGTATTTGAGTCACTTTACAAAGCCAAACCAACCTGTATGCTACTCGCTGTAGCACCCGAAACTGCAGGAGCACTCTTATAGTTTTAACACAATGTATTACAATGAGTACCTTTTGTGTTAATCAATTACTGTTACATATTGTTAAAATGACAAGTTTTATTTATGTTTTAGCTGGAGTTCCTTCAAGAGCAGTATGATCATATCTACCGGCAGGCAGGTGATATTGATGAGAGACTATTCCTTGACTCTTCATCACACCTGTTTGTGCAGAAAGCACCAACATCAGAGCCTCCTAGTCGTCCTGACACAGAGAATGAACATTCCTCAACGACCGCCATGACACCTGTCAAGTACGTCAGGACATTTATTGATCCTAACCCCAGCGGTGTATGACTCAAGTCCTCAATGATTAGTGTCTGTTTGTAGTCGCAATTTCAGTGACTCAGACTCGCACCAAATGACTCGGGACTCAGACTCAGGCTGAGACTCGGACTCGCCCCAAGAGACACGAACCCAAACTCAGGCTGAGACTCAGACTCGGACTTACCCAAGTGACTCAGGACTCAGACTCAGGCTGAAACTCAAACTCGCCCCGAGTGACTCGGAACTCAAACTCAGCTGATACTCAGACTCAGACTCGACCCAATTGACTCGGGATTCGGACTCGGGCTGAGACTCAAACTCGCCCCAAGTGACTCGGGACTCAAACTCAGGCTGATTCTCAGACTCAGACTCGACCCAATTGACTCAGGACTCAGACTCAGGCTGAGACTCTAACTTGATCCAAGGGACCCGGGGCCCAGACTCAGACTTGAAGTCGACCCAAGTGACTCGGAACTCGGACTTCGGCTGAGACTCAAACTCAGACTCAAACTTGACCCAAGTGACTCAGGACTCGGATTCGACCCAAGTGACTTGGGACTGAGATTCGAACCCGGACCCAAACTCGACCTAAATAATGATTCTAGTCATTCCTAGTGAACACGCCTAGTGAAAAAAAAGCCAAGTTAATTTTGTAATGGAATTTACCCTTACAAAAGAAGCAAGTGTGTATATGTTGGGAATAATTTTGAAACTGTAAATTGCAAAGCTTCTACCGCAGTGATATGTGGAACTAAAGTTGTAAGATTCTCAATGAATAGAAATTAAAACAAATTAAATTTGAGAACTTTTTGGTAATGTCTCTACACAGGCGAGCCATCAATTCAGTACAGAGTCTGAAGTCATTGCTGTCCACAGCCAGCGACGCTCCCTCCTCACCACTCACCAAATACTTCAAGGTCAGAACATTTTCCTTTTTCAAAACCTGTTTCATACTTGTTATTCTTCTAGCAAATTTATCATTAAACACTTCTACTGGGAAAATCGCTAAAAGTGTAATGATTGATTGAAATGTCTGTAAATTGAAATGTAATTAACATGCCGATTGACAGTTAAAAAGTTTGTCATGATTTACAATTTTGTGGTCACACTGTTCTTTGGTTTTTTTTTTACTGAATATGGAGAATCCGTCAAAGTATTAGCTTACATTTGTAGATGACAGTTATCTCGTTTTTGAGCCACATTTAAGAGCAAAATTCATTTACAAATGCGCACGGGGTATGAATCCTACATTAGTGAGCATGTAAATATTTATCTCGCTAGAGTCCAGATTAACATTCCAATAATTTGTCATTGATTGAAACCGTTTGGTTTGATTGGTTCTGTGGACAGAACTGCAGTCAGGACCCCAGTGTCAGCATCAATCAACGAGTGGTCGCGCTGAAGGACGCCTACGTCCATCACTTCAAGAGGGTCATGGGTTCCCCCTCTGCTGCAGTGGCGCGGTCCAGATTCCAGATTGGTGTCAGATTGTACTACAGGGTCATGGAAGCCATGCTGAGGAGGGTAAGGCTCGTACCATTCACAGAAGAGGGGCATTAAATATGGAGATATTTTCCCCAGAATTTTATTCCGACTTTCTGTTTACTGAACTCTTTAATTTGGATGATCAGGTTTTGGCAGGGAGACCTAAGAATCTTTAGGTGACATTATATTTCTATATATTTTTTTGGTGAATTTGAAGTTAAAGTTTTTGCCAGTTCATTTTTTTAAAAATTATCTTGAAAATTTCTTTCTTATTTTTACCTAAACAGGAGGAGGAGAGGTTATCAACCAAGGATTTCTCCTCGTTACTTCTCAGCGATCCATTCCACAAATCCCTGCTTGCTTGTGCCCTGGAAGTAGTCAACGTAACTTATGAATATTCCCGTAAGTCCCAATTTCGTTGGACGTAGAATCTTAGCACTTAAAGTCTTGTTGGCAGAAAGATGATGGAGGTACAAATTAACCTCAATCGACAATTTGAGGTCCAAATAACAGATATGAAATTATTTTGTTGTCTTATGGTACAAAATCGGTATATTCTATTACTTTTAATATTTGGATTCAATGCAGAAACAAATAACTTGAATTTAATCTTACAAACTGTTTATAAGATGTATTAAAACAGATTTTTTTTTTTGGGGGGGGGGTTATTCATAAACACAATATTTGGTGCTGAGTGTGACCCTTTTTCTCTTACAGCGAACGAATTTTCCTCCATGCCTGGTAACGCATCCCGGCTCTTGTTTCCATGGATACTGAATGTCTTCTCCCTCAAGGCTTATGACTTCGGCAAGGTGCTGGAGAGTTTTGTCAAAGACGAGCCCAAACTAACCCAGGAAGCCAAAAAGGTTGGTACATTTATCATCATCTTCTGATTAACTCATAGAAATCACAGTAAACATTCCTGCTCAGGGACATATTGTATGTTTGTTTCTCTCTCTACAGCATCTTCAGTCCATTGAGACTAGGATTGTGGAGAGCATGGCATGGCAGGCGACATCGCCCCTTCACGATCTGATCAAGACGGCTGGTACCACACTGCATATTGCCTCACCAGGGGTATGAACAAACTGACACATATAACATCCTTACACCTAAACACTCAATGCCGTTAATTTCTAGGTCTACAGCTATTAACCAAAGCTAGATGGCTAAAAAAAAAGAAGACATTTAATGCTATTCAGAAATAGTCTTCTAAGTAAACCCTCAAATTTTGTTTTATACCTTTTTTTCTTGTGCAGAGTATAAGCACAAGAACTAATGGTCTTAACGCACCCAGGACAACTGCAGCAGACATGTGAGTGTGATTTTGATAATCAACTTGATAAAAAAGTAATTTTGTGCAAACCTTGTATTTAAGCAGGCTTTCAAGTATTCCAACTTTTCCTACTTATTCCTTATTGTTTTTACCTTGCTCCTTCTTTTCCTACTTTTTTCTTGAATTTCCTACTTTTTCCTACTTATTCCTACTTTTCCTACTTATTCCTTATTGTTTTTACCTTGCTCCTACTTTTCCTACTTTTTTCTTGAATTTCCTACTTTTTCCTACTTATTCCTACTTTTCCTACTTATTCCTTACTGTTTTTACCTTGCTCCTACTTTTCCTACTTTTTTCTTGAATTTCCTATTTTTTCCTACTTATTCCTACCTTTCCTACTTATTCCTTATCGTTTTTACCTTGCTCCTACTTTTCCTACTTTTTTCTTGAGTTTCCTACTTTTTCCTACTTATTCCTACTTTTCCTACTTATTCCTTATTGTTTTTACCTTGCTCCTACTTTTCCTACTTTTTCCTACTTATTCCTACTTTTCCTACTTATTCCTTATTGTTTTTACCTTGCTCCTTCTTTTCCTATTTTTTTCTTGAATTTCCTACTTTTTTGGCCTACGACTCCCGAAAAATGAAATCTCATTGAATATTTTTCATAACACTGTTATACACACTGTCATATGTAAATCACACATTGAAGGGCTTGGGCGCAGGAGTACTGCAACTGTACTTCCAAGAGCTTAGTTGAGGATGGAGCACAAGTGTTGTGAGTACACAACATGCCAAATGAGGATGTGGACATGGGTGAGTATCAACGAAAAGTACTCCTGAAAGCCCGCAAAAGTCCTACCAGTTACTTTCATCCTGATTTTGTCCTACAAAGTCATAATTTGTTCCTGTTTTTTATTTTTGCTTATATTTTAATCCTACTGTCCTCCTTTTTAATCTGGGTCGGCTTGAAAGCCTGATTTAAGTAGTGATATCTTCAAAAACAGAAGTATTCCTGGTAAAACTCTTTAATCGCACTTTGACTTTCTTCACGCAAGCTGAATTTTATACTTTAAACTCCAAAGATATACAAATTTAACCTCTGACTTTAATTGATTCTCCACAGGTACTTATCTCCAATCAGGCCCACCCCACAGGCCCCGAACTCCAGTGAGGCAACACCCCCTCCCACTACCCTCACCAGCCCCCTTGCCAGACCCCCTCAGCAACCGCAGGGGGTAGGCCCGTACCCCTCCCCACAGCCCAGTAATATCCCTATGTCACCCAGGAAGACCCGGTCCGTATCCCTCAACATGTTCCTGAACAAGGTCCAACAGCTGGCCTACAGTCGGCTGGACAGACTGTGTGGGATGCTCACGGTCTCCAAAGATCTGGCAAGTCTAATTTCTTCTGTTTCAAATTTCAAATTAACCACTTCGCGCCGAAAATTTTGATTTTACCAAAAGGCAAAATTTCTAGCCAACTTTTGATAGACAGCCAAATGCCTCAAATACTGATTCACAAGAGTCATTTCAACAGTATTTGTACAGTATTTCTTGCCAAAACCTCATATGTTTCCATACTCTGGGGTGTGCACTGGAGCATAAATTGTACAACAATAGGCCGTGCACAACGGCTAAATCAAGATCAACACACGGTCCGCCTCCACATACTTCACAGAGTTTGTGTGTGTGTACAAAATACACGAGGGATTAGCGTGTTTAGACGTCACCCGGAGGCGAGTCAATGATGTCTTAACCCGTCAGCTGTGCCTGTGTATAAAACAGCCAGTGCGCGTTATCACGCCCTCCAACGTGAACTCATTAATGCTTACGGCTTACGCTTCAATTATATTTGTTCAAGAGCTTTGCTTTTTCAGAATCTGAGTAACAGTTTTTAATGAAAAACATTTATTTTTTTGCTTTTCAGATGAAGTTCATATGGACGTGTGTGGAGTACTGTGTCACCAACAAGACAGAGTTGCTGAAAAACAGACATCTTGACCAAGTGAGAACTAATTTAAATTTTTCCAAAATTTGTTAAAAATTTTGATAATGTTTTACCAGTTTTGGAAGTTTTCATTATTTGTGATATTCAACCAGAAGTTTAAGTTTTGTACATGGAAAATCTCAGGAAACATTACTTACATGTACATGTACTGTTAGATATTGTACCCAGAATTTCACATAGGTGTACATTTTAATGATAAACGTACAATCTGCATGCTTATTTGTTCTAATATCTTCACCATTTTAAAATCTGATCAGTTTGAGAATTCGTAATGTCTCTTCTCCTTTACAGATCGTAATGAGCTGCATCTATGCAATTTGCAAAGTGACGGAAAATGAGTTGAAATTCAAGGACATCGTCAACGCCTACCGCTCGCTGCCTCACGCAGAGGCAACGGTAAGACATCAGAAACTAAAAGACAAAATGATAAAATTACAATAATTGAGACAATTTATCATGATACTCGCAGAGAAACTATCAGGATTTGAACCAGCCAGCTGACTGCATTGGTCTGGGGAGTCAAGTGGTCTAGACATCTGCACTAATAAGCAGGAGGTTGTGGGTTCAGGCTCTGCCTGAGCAAGACTCGGGGTTTACTGATGTTAGAATTTAATTCAAAGCCCCCCTTTTTGGATCCAACTTTCATTTTTGTCATTAAGATTTTATGATATATGGTTGGGGTGATGTAACATGCTACATCCAAATTTTTGACTGACTCCCCGACTGACTGACTCCCCGACTCTTAAAATAACTATGAAAGCCTATTTTTGTCGTGGTTCTTATTCATATGTTGCGTTTCCATTCACAGACATACAGGAATGTGGATATCGACGGGACCAAGGAAGATTCCATCATCATGTTTTATAACAAAGTCTTCATGCCAGTCATGAAGGGCTACATCCTGCAGTTCCAGCCCAAGAACCAGGTAAGCTCAATCCCATAGCGTCAATCTCTAGAATTGTAGATAATACTTGGTCATTTTTATAATTGTTAAACCATTAGCAATGTGGTATATTGTATTTCATTGTATTTTCTTTGATGCATGCACAAAATCACAGTGTTGGGGCGTTTGGGGCAATACAAGGAGTAACAAGCAGGGCGATTTGGGGCGGTATGGGGCGGTAGAGTTAAAATACTGGAGCAAGCGAAACTATACCAAGACTTCAAGATGCCTCTTTCTTCACATCTTTGTGAATGAACAAAAAATATAAATTGTAAATCTTGATATTTGCTGTCTTTATGACTGTGCCATTCTTTAGTCTGTCCTATTTTTGAATTAAAATGCAAAAATTAAAATTGCAAATCCTTGATAATTATTCATTTAGCAAACCCCAACCGCCTCTCCGGTGCCTTCGAGGTCGTCCGCTGTGTCGCAGGCTTCCCCAGGATTCATGTAAGTGATTCTTTTTTTTCTGGTAATGAAACCAAGGATTCCTCAAAAGCGCCCCGGACACTGTAGCTCGCAAGCCTGAAGAAACCTGTAGAGAGAAGACAATGAGAAGAAATTACAGTTTTTAGAGGTGGGAGGAAAACCCCAGAAGAATATTCTGGGGGAACCCACGGAATCAGGTAGGAGCTGAAAACCCGATCCACATGTAGGCCCAGGCAGGAATCGAACCGGGGCCATAGGGGTGGAAGGTGAAGAAAGAACCACTACGTCAACTAGAATCCCTCATGGTTACGTGTTGTCAATCGTAAGGTGCCATAAATTCAAATTTTCACTAACTCTTACTCCCCGGTCAACCCTCTCTCATCATCCAAAATCCCCCACATTCAAGGAAATTGATTTTCTACTTTATGTTGTCCAGGGTCGGTCCCAATCTGTACATCTCACCGATGAAGGAGTCTCCGTTCAAGAGCCCACATCCAGTCAAGGAGTTCTCCTTTGGATCACCGAGCCAGCTTACCCCCAGAAAAAGGTCAACAAAACGTTTACAAAACATTTCACAAAAGATTCTTATTGCAAGTTTTAAGGCCACAATTATTTCAAAAAACCCTTTTTATTTAGAAATATTGTTTTCACTTTGCATTCTAAAAGTACTGCCAAAAATTTCTAGCACCCTTCAAATAAGGTACTTCTCTAAAAGTAAAATGTCTTTGTTTATTAGTGTATTTTAATAGCAAGCTGTCAATTGTCAACACTGATTTAGAGTTTGTTTTTTTAATTTTTCCAAATTTCCTTTCTTTACAGGACTCACTACAGCTTTGGCGAAGGGCCTGGGGTAAGCAATACTCTCCTACAATAAACCTCCTTTTTGGAACGTCTTAAAAATTTCCTCACTGTTCATCTTCAACTTCAAGTCCCAAAATATTACATTCCTGGATGTTTCAGTATCGCTCCCTAACACCAGTCTCCACTCCACATCTTGACCTTTCTTCGCTGTCTTCACCCTAATTTTGATGTCTGGAGTTTTTCTTCTTTAGTTTCCTGAACATTTCTGCTATTTCACCCAATGCCGCGCAGACCATGTTAATCAAAGTTTTGTTTTCCTTCCATTCAAGTCTTCAGAGAAGCTACGCGAGATCAACGAGAGAATGAAGCAAGCTAGCATGGACAGCGGAAGTAACACTCGCTCCTCCACCTCCAAACGTCTCAAGTTTGAAGATGAGGATGTCTCGACTTCCTCAACATCTCAAGATGAAATTGACTGGTTAGTATTGGTAAGGGGAGGGGCGGGGCTAGAGGCAAGGGGAAGAGGGAGGAGTAGCACTCGCTCCTCCATCTCCAAACGTCTCAAGTTTGAAGATGAGGATGTCTCAACTTCCTCAACATCACAAGATGAAACTGACTGGTTAGTATTGGTAAGGGGAGGGGCGGGGCTAGAGGCAAGGGGAAGAGGGAGGAGTAACACTCGCTCCTCCATCTCCAAACGTCTCAAGTTTGAAGATGAGGATGTCTCAACTTCCTCAGCATCTCAAGATGAAACTGATTGGTTGAGGAGGGGCGGGGCTTAGGCAAAGGAATGGGGAGGAGTAACAATTACCGTCTGAGGATGTCTCAGCATCATCAAAATCTTAAGATGTAACTGACTTGTTTTGAAGATGGCCATGGCTTCTTTCCTTTGATTATTGAATCTGATTATTTAGATTATATTTGATTTTGACTTTGAGTGACATTGGTTTCATATATAGCCCCATCACCAATGGAAGTTCATCAAGTAACGGCGTGTCCTCAACCAATGGTCACATGACGTCCCAGTCAGCGAGTGATGAACCAATGAGCACGCAGCCTTTACCCCCCAGCATGCAACGCAGGGTAGCCATGATGAGTAAGTATACCCAAACTTAATGTCTTGAGAACAAGATTAATGTATATTACACAAAGAAATTGACTAGTGCAGGGTTCGAACCTGTGACCTCCAGAAAACAGTATCAGTGCTCAAACGATCCAGCATTAGTCTCATGAACAAAAAAAGGTTTTGGTCGTCAAGCTATTGAACTTTTTGTTGAAAGTTCAGCTTAGAAAAGCTGAAATTCTTTGACTGCTCTAAGTGACAAAGAGCATCTTAACTGCCACATGGTTTGGGAGATTTGCCAAGATTTGACTTAAATTGATCTTTTTTCTCTCTTTTGTTTTGGTTCTGTTCAGCCTCTGATATTCAAGCAAGTCTCAGTCCTGCCGAGAGCGATGACAAAAAGTAAAAAACAAACCCTAAAAGTAAACAACAACAAACCCTGCCAACACGTTAGGAAAACGTCATGCATTACAAGATGAGTGCATGTACTAACAAATGGATTGTATTAGTGAAATCAAAACCATTTTTATCATTATTGCCCACAGATTGTGCCATCTAAATAATTTTATTTTATTGAGTTGCCGCACTGCAATTCAGGTAACATGTTTATTAAAAGCACTGGCCAAAGTAATGACGGGACTGGTAGCTTCTTTGGCATAACATGCCCCTCTGGCCAGTGAGAAAGGAAAACTTGTTACTTGTCAAGCAGAAAACTAGGTGTCTTGTCCATGCAGAGATTGACTTCAGGTTATGCTGTGAATTTGTTCACGATGTTTCAATTTGACCCCAAAATTGATGATTTTACAGTTTTTTGTTGAATAGTGAGGTAAAGAGTTAAAACAGCCAAAAATGGAGTTGCAGTACCACGCTTTTATTTGTAAGTTTCAATTTTTCAATGGACAGAATACTATCCAGTAATGTTTTGACTGCCAGAAACACTCTAAAAAATGTGATTCCAAATGTATAAATAATAAAACAATTATTCCATCTAATGGAGCAATCGTGGTTTTGCAGCATGTTTTCAAATTGGTCAATTTCAGCTATGCAAGATTTTAATAACGAGAATTCATGTTAATGTCTTTCATTTTTAATTGACCACGGATAGAGGCGGTCACCGAGTTTGTGTTATGGCCAAAAGAAGAGTTAAAAAAATTCAAACGCTTCTGTGAGAGTTCAAGAAAGTGTTGTCTGAAATATGAATTTAAATTTACCTGAATTCTGGAATTAGAGGAAGATTGTGAAATATTTCTTCAAACATGCTGCACTACGTTATCTTAATCTGTACAGTTGTAAATGTTTATCTTTTAGAACCATGTATTTAATTTTGGGAGCGTTAAATTATAGCATTGTTTTGAAATGTGATTTAAGTTAACATTGTACTGTGTGAAAGAATCTTTAAAAATAAGAAAATTCATTGCTATGTTCCAATCGTTTGGAAGTTGCTCAAAGGAAAATGAAATAATCAGGAGGAATGATTTCAAATAAACACAAAGTGTTTTCAAAGAGTTGGTTTTGTTGAAATTAATTTTGGGGAAGATAAGCTATGTATCTTATCCACTCACCAAAAAAGGGCATTTGGTTTTAATTATCTATGTTTGTTTTTAATCTCGTTAAGTGTAACAGGTGTTTTTTATTGTTGATGGCATGCCTGTTTTGGCCAGTGTGTGAATAGATTTGTATTTCTTAAAAAGATTCATGAATAAAAGTAGGGAGCAGACGCAAGTCTTTGTTTCTGTGGTTCGTTTCCAGACTTTCAATTTAGGACTGGATTGTTCAATTCTTTCCAGCAGTTGTAGGTTCAATATTCACTTGAATAAACTACTTATCAGATTTTGCAACACTCCAAGGCCCTCAACACGAAGTGATATTTGCTAGGACGATGGATGATTTTTGCCTTAATTTTCAAAATTGTGCTTGTTGGAGTATTGATTGATGTTCCTCTTGCATCCAGATGAATTTCTGCCTTGTTTTGAGAAAAGTCGTTTTTTGGCCAATTTTGACTAAAAATGTAAGGCTAACCCCTGTTTTTTTTCCATTTTGGCCAAAAAAAAGAAATTGTTTGACAGTTTCTAGAAAGATGCCTTAAGGGCCCGAGAAAGCATTCCAAATCGATTACTGGACATATGTGCTATTAAAGGGGTAATTCCGTCAAAAAATTAAGGTAAAATCGCTGCAAAATTTAATTATTTTTCTCCAAAAATTGATGATTTTTGCCCAAATCTTCCAAATTATGCGTGTTAGAGTATTGATTGATGTTCCTCTTGCATCCAGATGAATTTCTGCCTTGTTTTGAGAAAAGTCGATTTTTGGCCGATTTTGACTAAAAATGTAAGGCTAACCCCTTACATTTTTTTCAATTTTGGCCAAAAAATAAAATTTCTTGAAAGTTGCTAGAAAGATGCCTTCAGGGCCCTAGAACGCATTTCTAATCGGTTGCTGGACAAATGTGCTATTAAAGGGGAAATTCCGTCGAAAAAATTAAGGTAAAATCGCTCAAAAAATGTTTATTTTTCTCCAAAAATTGATGATTTTTGCCCAAATCTTCCAAATTATGCGTGTTAGAGTATTGATTGATGTTCCTCTTGCATCCAGATGAATTTCTGCCTTGTTTTGAGAAAAGTCAATTTTTGGCCGATTTTGACTAAAAATGTAAGGCTAACCCCTTACATTTTTTTCAATTTTGGCCAAAAAATGAAATTTCTTGAAAGTTTCTAGAAAGATGCCTTAAGGGCCCTAGAACGCATTCCAAATCGATTACTGGACAAATGTGCTATTAAAGGGGTAATTCCGTCGAAAAATGTAGGTAAAATCGCTGCAAAATTTAATTATTTTTCTCCAAAAATTGATGATTTTTGCCCAAATCTTCCAAATTATGCGTGTTAGAGTATTGATTGATGTTCCTCTTGCATTCAGATGAATTTCTGCCTTGTTTTGAGAAAAGTCAATTTTTGGCCGATTTTGACTAAAAATGTAAGGCTAACCCCTTACATTTTTTTCAATTTTGGCCAAAAAATGAAATTTCTTGAAAGTTGCTAGAAAGATGCCTTAAGGGCCCTAGAACGCATTCCAAATCGAGTACTGGACAAATGTGCTATTAAAGGGGAAATTCCGTCGAAAAAATTAAGGTAAAATCGCTCAAAAAATATTTATTTTTCTCCAAAAATTGATGATTTTTGCCCAAATCTTCCAAATTATGCGTGTTAGAGTATTGATTGATGTTCCTCTTGCATCCAGATGAATTTCTGCCTTGTTTTGAGAAAAGTCAATTTTTGGCCGATTTTGACTAAAAATGTAAGGCTAACCCCTTACATTTTTTTCAATTTTGGCCAAAAAATGAAATTTCTTGAAAGTTGCTAGAAAGATGCCTTAAGGGCCCTAGAACGCATTCCAAATCGATTACTGGACAAATGTGCTATTAAAGGGGAAATTCCGTCGAAAAATGTAGGTAAAATCGCTCAAAAAATATTTATTTTTCTCCAAAAATTGATGATTTTTGCCCAAATCTTCCAAATTATGCGTGTTAGAGTATTGATTGATGTTCCTCTTGCATCCAGATGAATTTCTGCCTTGTTTTGAGAAAAGTCAATTTTTGGCCGATTTTCACTAAAAATGTAAGGCTAACCCCTTACATTTTTTTCAATTTTGGCCAAAAAATGAAATTTCTTGAAAGTTGCTAGAAAGATGCCTTAAGGGCCCTAGAACGCATTCCAAATCGATTACTGGACAAATGTGCTATTAAAGGGGAAATTCCGTCGAAAAATGTAGGTAAAATCGCTCAAAAAATATTTATTTTTCTCCAAAAATTGATGATTTTTGCCCAAATCTTCCAAATTATGCGTGTTAGAGTATTGATTGATGTTCCTCTTGCATCCAGATGAATTTCTGCCTTGTTTTGAGAAAAGTCAATTTTTGGCCGATTTTGACTAAAAATGTAAGGCTAACCCCTTACATTTTTTTCAATTTTGGCCAAAAAATGAAATTTCTTGAAAGTTGCTAGAAAGATGCCTTAAGGGCCCTAGAACGCATTCCAAATCGATTACTGGACAAATGTGCTATTAAAGGGGTAATTCCGTCGAAAAATGTAGGTAAAATCGCTGCAAAATTTAATTATTTTTCTCCAAAAATTGATGATTTTTGCCCAAATCTTCCAAATTATGCGTGTTAGAGTATTGATTGATGTTCCTCTTGCATCCAGATGAATTTCTGCCTTGTTTTGAGAAAAGTCAATTTTTGGCCGATTTTGACTAAAAATGTAAGGCTAACCCCTTACATTTTTTTCAATTTTGGCCAAAAAATGAAATTTCTTGAACGTTTCTAGAAAGATGCCTTCAGGGCCCTAGAACGCATTCCAAATCGAGTACTGGACAAATGTGCTATTAAAGGGGAAATTCCGTCGAAAAAATTAAGGTAAAATCGCTCAAAAAATATTTATTTTTCTCCAAAAATTGATGATTTTTGCCCAAATCTTCCAAATTATGCGTGTTAGAGTATTGATTGATGTTCCTCTTGCATCCAGATGAATTTCTGCCTTGTTTTGAGAAAAGTCAATTTTTGGCCGATTTTGACTAAAAATGTAAGGCTAACCCCTTACATTTTTTTCAATTTTGGCCAAAAAATGAAATTTCTTGAAAGTTGCTAGAAAGATGCCTTAAGGGCCCTAGAACGCATTCCAAATCGATTACTGGACAAATGTGCTATTAAAGGGGTAATTCCGTCGAAAAATGTAGGTAAAATCGCTGCAAAATTTAATTATTTTTCTCCAAAAATTGATGATTTTTGCCCAAATCTTCCAAATTATGCGTGTTAGAGTATTGATTGATGTTCCTCTTGCATCCAGATGAATTTCTGCCTTGTTTTGAGAAAAGTCAATTTTTGGCCGATTTTGACTAAAAATGTAAGGCTAACCCCTTACATTTTTTTCAATTTTGGCCAAAAAATGAAATTTCTTGAACGTTTCTAGAAAGATGCCTTCAGGGCCCTAGAACGCATTCCAAATCGAGTACTGGACAAATGTGCTATTAAAGGGGAAATTCCGTCGAAAAAATTAAGGTAAAATCGCTCAAAAAATATTTATTTTTCTCCAAAAATTGATGATTTTTGCCCAAATCTTCCAAATTATGCGTGTTAGAGTATTGATTGATGTTCCTCTTGCATCCAGATGAATTTCTGCCTTGTTTTGAGAAAAGTCAATTTTTGGCCGATTTTGACTAAAAATGTAAGGCTAACCCCTTACATTTTTTTCAATTTTGGCCAAAAAATGAAATTTCTTGAAAGTTGCTAGAAAGATGCCTTAAGGGCCCTAGAACGCATTCCAAATCGATTACTGGACAAATGTGCTATTAAAGGGGTAATTCCGTCGAAAAATGTAGGTAAAATCGCTGCAAAATTTAATTATTTTTCTCCAAAAATTGATGATTTTTGCCCAAATCTTCCAAATTATGCGTGTTAGAGTATTGATTGATGTTCCTCTTGCATCCAGATGAATTTCTGCCTTGTTTTGAGAAAAGTCAATTTTTGGCCGATTTTGACTAAAAATGTAAGGCTAACCCCTTACATTTTTTTCAATTTTGGCCAAAAAATGAAATTTCTTGAACGTTTCTAGAAAGATGCCTTCAGGGCCCTAGAACGCATTCCAAATCGATTACTGGACAAATGTGCTATTAAAGGGGTAATTCCGTCGAAAAATGTAGGTAAAATCGCTGCAAAATTTAATTATTTTTCTCCAAAAATTGATGATTTTTGCCCAAATCTTCCAAATTATGCGTGTTAGAGTATTGATTGATGTTCCTCTTGCATCCAGATGAATTTCTGCCTTGTTTTGAGAAAAGTCAATTTTTGGCCGATTTTGACTAAAAATGTAAGGCTAACCCCTTACATTTTTTTCAATTTTGGCCAAAAAATGAAATTTCTTGAAAGTTGCTAGAAAGATGCCTTAAGGGCCCTAGAACGCATTCCAAATCGATTACTGGACCAATGTGCTATTAAAGGGGTAATTCCGTCGAAAAATGTAGGTAAAATCGCTGCAAAATTAAATTATTTTTCTCCAAAAATTAATGATTTTTGCCCAAATCTTCCAAATTATGCGTGTTAGAGTATTGATTGATGTTCCTCTTGCATCCAGATGAATTTCTGCCTTGTTTTGAGAAAAGTCAATTTTTGGCCGATTTTGACTAAAAATGTAAGGCTAACCCCTTACATTTTTTTCAATTTTGGCCAAAAAATGAAATTTCTTGAAAGTTTCTAGAAAGAAGCCTTCAGGGCCCTAGAACGCATTCCAAATCGATTACTGGACAAATGTGCTATTAAAGGGGTAATTCCGTCGAAAAATGTAGGTAAAATCGCTGCAAAATGTAATTATTTTTCTCCAAAAATTGATGATTTTTGCCCAAATCTTCCAAATTATGCGTGTTAGAGTATTGATTGATGTTCCTCTTGCATTCAGATGAATTTCTGCCTTGTTTTGAGAAAAGTCAATTTTTGGCCGATTTTGACTAAAAATGTAAGGCTAACCCCTTACATTTATTTCAATTTTGGCCAAAAAATGAAATTTCTTGAAAGTTGCTAGAAAGATGCCTTAAGGGCCCTAGAACGCATTCCAAATCGATTACTGGACAAATGTGCTATTAAAGGGGTAATTCCGTCGAAAAATGTAGGTAAAATCGCTGCAAAATTAAATTATTTTTTACCAAAAATTGATGATTTTTGCCCAAATCTTCCAAATT